CACCATCATTAAAGCTCTTGAGCTGATAGGCCAAAGGGTGGACCTGTAAGTACTATGTCTATAAATGTTTTTTCTTTCCCTTACAAGGGAAAAACCGTTCTTCCTGCCTGAAAAGGAAAGTATGCTTCTGAATGTATAGATGTGTACGTGTTATGGAGCCAAGATTCCTATAGTCATTTCCTATTATGCCTTGTGTGGTTAAGAGCTCTGGCCAAGCTTAAACCTCTTGAATATTGATTTCACACAACAATTATGGAGCTCCCATCCTTCATAAACTCTCAACTATCTTTTTTCTATTTCTATCAATGGTTACATTTATTTTAATGGTGGCTTATCCCAATAGAATGCTTCCAAACAAATTAGGCAGTCACTCAAGTGCAGAAATATGACTTGGCCTTGTTGGAAAGAGAACACCGTAAGTGGTGATGGATTACATTTTTAACTCCTTTTTCCATTAAAAGGATTTTTATTTAGCCATGTCTTGGAATGGTTTTTTCTAACATGATTATCAGTGGGGTTTTTAACTGGTGATCCTGAAGCACTGGTACATTTGCACCTCCATCCAAAATAATGAAAATATTGAAGATGATTTCACATGTCGGTCAGATTGGCGGCATTCACTCCATACACAGTGGTAATAAACTACTACTGTAGCCAGAGCTGCCCTGGGGCAGACTGACAGAAACAGCCCCTCAGACCATCACCAATCATTCAATCATTTACCCACCCCCCCACACACCTCATGCCCATAACCAGGGCCTGCCCTTCTGAGTTCTGCCAGGACCAGGCTTTCACATGCAGGTAGTTGAAGCTGCTTTTGTTGTACCATAAGGCCGCTTATCCAATAAGTTCAGATGTGATTATATTTAAAAGAGATACTATAGTTGGTTTAACTTATTTTACCAATATACCACATTTGTAATTCCTCCAAAAGAAACAATTAAGTAAAACCCACCACAACATTTGAAGTGTGATGTATGTACGCACCAATAACAAACATCCCCTCAAATCTGCTACATCTGGTTTCTTAGAGCCTTTGATGTGAGAGTTCTGGGCGTGGGGTACACGAGGGAGCAGGCTCTCATAAAGACCAGGATCACAACACTCCCAGCTGGAAGCGCATTAGCCTTCCATTCATGCTCCCAACACATGGTTCCAGAAGAAGAGTGGATGAAACCGTGTTGAAATACACACAAATTCTCTTCATTTCCCGTTGACATCCAGTAGTTAAAACCATCAGCCTCATACTTGTAGGCCACAGGTCACACAGCAGAACCCATAAATCAGGTCGCATCAGGTTTGAAAATTGGCAGGATTATGGTCATTATTCATCATCTTTTGTTGTCTTTTATTTTTCCCGATTACTATGAGGACAATTAATTAAGCGTCATTGGCTCTTCCGGAAGCTTGAGTAGAGCCAAACATTTACATGTGGCTTAAGGTAATAACTTTTAAACTATCAAGATGTCAGCAACTACTAATGAAGGGCAGGCGAAATGAGCAGCGTTTGTCACAAGCAAACAGCAGGAAGCAGTGTATTGTACAACAACTCAGATGACAGAGTAAAGGAAAGTGTCTTTGTCAATTGCACCAGTATACTTTTCCTGACATGTGAAGAGAGTTAGCACATGATGAGACCTTTATGACGCAGCACAAAAATCATGGGACAACTCACGACATAAAGGGATTTTTGTTATTCTTAGCCCCCGTTCTGATGGAGTCAGAAGTGTGCCCCACCACCACCACCGAAAGCACAGATAAATCAAACATACCTTTAAAAGAGGACATAGTCCCTGAAAAGGCATTAGGGAAAAGCTGGCCCCAATAGCCTGTTATTCTCTTTATGTGGGGTTTCGATATATTTAGGCAATGTATTTGTAACATCTTTGTTTTTTCCTAAGTAAGCAAAAAGACATTAGCCAGTGTAAATACGTGTTCAATGAACCTTTGTATTGATTCATGCTGTAGAACATTGTAGATATAGCTTTACAAATCATAAATGCAACAGCCTGCGACAGAGTTCCTAAGGAGAAGAGGTCACCTTAAGTATCATCATGTGTCATGAAAGCAATCGGAGGTAGGCCCTTGAAGGACGTATTGTTTGTATGACGCAGTTTTTCCGGCTTCATGCTGCCCAGTCTTGAGACCTTGTGTCTTAAGACTTGCAATTCCTTCATTAACATTTCCGCCACATTTGGGATAATAGTGTCAGTGTGAAAAGTATTTGTTTTATGAAATGATGACTTGTCACAAAGTGCATTCTTAAGGAGTCAGCAGTTCATTGAATAAGGCCAGTGCGCCGTTCTGTCAGTCATCCACCAGAGTCAGCCTCCGCGTGTTTCAGTGTTACTGTATTTTAACAATGCACTGTAAAATTTACATTTGGTTGAATTGTTCATTGAGAAGCTATAGATGAAAACTGAAATGAGCCGTACGTTTTTGTACAAAGAGTTGTTTTCAATTCAAACAAACCGGTGGTTTGTTTTAGACCCCGTCTAAGAAAACATTCTCGCCTTGAAAGAAAAGCGAGTTTACAAGTTTTTCAGGTTTTAATTTCCCAACACATCTTTTGACAGAATCTGGTTTTCTGTCCACATCGGCTTTGCACGTCCACTAACGCAACAAAGTGAAAATGAAGTGCCCAATACACAATTGTAAAAATCTGCATGACTTTAATCTTAATGTTTTCTGCACTGATAAAGAGCCAAAGCAAGCACTGACAGGTCATGGATGCCTAAAGCTCCACATAAGAGGCTGGACAGAGCTAAACCACATCATACACTCACATTTCCCCACTCAGATGAATCACTCAGTCACACCTATTTCAATTTTCTGCCAAACAAATCTACTGTCAAACAAAAAAAGCACAGATTATTGCTGACCACTCTGACAAAATATGCTTCTGTAACTATGAAAGACACCTTTTCAAAACTGAAAGTATTTTGAGTACTGGCCTGTACAAAGTACCGATACCAGACATTTAACAGTCGTGTCAAGCTATAGTAAGATGACAAAATATATTCATTATACAAATTTACAAATTCATTATTACATTTTAGTGTATACATAAAAACACACACTGAAATATATAATAATAATAAAAAATTATGCATTGGTTATATATAGCCCTGTCCTGCTTAGCTTCAGAGGTCTGATGGGATCTGGCTTTCACATGCAGGTAGGGCCACAGACAATCTGTTCATATTTACGAATATCACAAAATGTAGCACTCTGCATAAATTAAGAGACAAGAACCTGCCAGTATCTGTCCAGAAACATGCTCTATATTAGATTAGCACATGAACAAACCTAATCCCGATTGTGGTTGTTTTTCTGAAAGAATGCTGACATATTAAGGTGAGATGGATCAAAACTGACAAAATATTGTCATTTTACAAGAATTTTGATAATGTAATATTATGTTGAATTGTGGCAGGAGATCAGCTTCTTTGTTAGTGAAACAACATCTGCAAACCCCTAGACTAAAATGAAAGCCAAAAGTATCAGGTCACAAATTCCCTTCTCTGTATCTCAACTACCAGACATTAGAGATGACAGGGAGATATTATGCCCAGTGGTTTGAAAGTGGAGTTCAGGAATATTGTTTAGGAAGAATAGTGGTCCCACAGACAACAAACCAACAACAACCAAAATAATACCATCAGTTGTCAAAAGAGCTTAAGGAATCTAATACACAAAGAAATGTGAGGTCTATACTTTATACAAGTATGAATATGATGCTCTTGTTATTATGTGTATATTAATTATAATAATAAATAGAATATTAATTTGAATATCTGTAGGTCTTATTTATTAGACTGTATACCTAATGCTTCATAAAAAACATGCATTTTGTGTTTTCATTATAACCGTTTTTCACATGTCTATACAGCACTTTGGTAGCCCCCGGTTTTTTTAAATGTGCTTCACAGATAAAGATTGATTATCAGATTTTGTCATCTTATTCTATGAAGGCCATTTTAGTTTGAGAAAGCAGCATTACTGGAGAACCTGCCCCATGACCTCTCAACCACCGGAAACACACCGATAATGCTATCAGCCTAATGGAGAAGTGATGGGACCTGGAGTTGACTCAACCAGAGCAAACATGGGACTGAGCAGAAGCACTAGACCAATACAGAGGGGATGTCATATAGATAGAAAGTTGCTCTTGGCCTTCAAACATTTCAGATCTCTTGTCAGTGGCGTGACTATAGATGTTTGAATGAAAATAGATATTGCATGAAGAAATTGCCTGAAAAGTTTCCTACAAAATGAATAAGTAAATTAAGGAAATATATAAATGTTCTATAATAAATAAACTATACTGGATTTTTATAATGATTGTCATGAAGGTTTTTACATGTGAAATTCAGAAGATTACTTATGACATGATATAGAAACGTTTTCCTCAGCTGATTGATCGGTTACCCTTTATGGTCAAACAATTCCGGTTATTTCTTATATTATAATAAGGTCTATCCATCGTCAATCGATGGAGTAACCATCCTATACCAGCTGAAAGAGGATTTATTCAACAAAGAGCCATGGTAAAAATAAGCATAGAGTACTGTGCTATTGAGTGCTTGGAATACATCACTTCCTTACTGCTCTCATGTCTTAGCAGTAGTGGCTTGTGCTGACGTGCTCTTCACACACACCGGCCCCTGAGACAGGCTAGCAGCCTCATACCCCGGTCTGTTCCCCCGCTGTCACATTACTGGGGCTCCGGTGTGAGCCTATGGATCCAGGCAATCTGTACAGCGGCAGAAGAGAGCGTGCCACCCGGGCTAAAGCAGCTCTCGACTGCCCTGGTCCACTCTCATCCACCAAATCAATGTCTGTCCACTGATACCAGGGCCTTTATCGCGCTCCTCTCCCGGTGATGGCTCGGCAGCGCGGATGTGGTTATGGGGGATATAGGGGGGCTCATGCTCGCTTTGTCCAAAGATAAAAACCTCATCACACCGTGAAACAAGACGACAGCAATACAAACCTACCTTCCGACTCAGCGCTGTCCCAGAGTAAAAGTAGTAAGCTATTCCCAAGACCCAGAGCACCGCGAAACACAACAATATCCTCGATTTCCTCCGCATGCTGGCCCCAGAGTCTGCGTCTGCTCGACTGAGCTCCGCGGCTTCCTGTGGCTACAGCGGCTCGGGCTGTGGTGCTGTCCGCGCAAAGCGCCTCTCCGTGCGGCTGCAGCGGGCTTCGGCTGTCGGTCAGGAGAGCGAAAGGAGCAGGAAGCAGCAAGCCAACATCAGCGGGGTTAGAGGGCAAAGGCTACCCGCCTGTAATCCAATCAAAGAGCGGCTCAGCTCTGGAGGAGGGCCGGGGTTTGGGAGCACTGCGCCCGCTGAGGGGGTGGGGACGCCCAGGAAATTAACACTGTACAATTTAAGCAAAATGTTGGAAGCGACTAACTCAAATATGATCACCAAGTATTATGATTTGCTGGTTTGTTTTGATTAAATTCACCACTAGAGGCGCCACCTATGCATTTTTTTCAATGGACCGGAGCTTTTCAGCCACCTCAGTTAAGGACTCAATGTGCCATGGTGTACTTACGGAAGTATTCATAAGTCCCCCCCAACCAAATTGAAAATGTAATGCCTTGTATATATTGTTCCCACAGAAGATCCTATTGCTAGCACCAGTTTATTTAGCTGAAAAAGGCCTATTACATTTCACATTGATAGATCTGTTTAATTTTTTTGGAATTATTGTCTGATTTATTCCTTTCTGTGCCAAACGGTTATAGATATGTAAATCCCCTCGCTCATAAAAAGGGAAGAATAAATTAAGGCGTTGCTTTATCATGTTGTGAAGAGCCACCGAGAGGAGACCCAGGGGCATCTCTGCTCAGACTACTGGAATTGAGTGGGAAATAATGGATGGCTCAAAAGAACTAATTTCATCAGTTAAGTGTTGATCTTCCCTCCCTCTTGTCCTCATTTTATTTCATTCGTATACATTGTAGCACCAGCTGCATCTCTGACTTTAAAAACCCTGGACCCTTAATTGGCAAAGGCTAAGCTAAAAAAATACAGGGTGAATAAACAGCACCATTTTATCAAGTTTATTTTTTGTTAACAAACAAAATTGTTTTTTCCATATAAAAATCGATTCAAGCGTTTCTGTCAGGAACAGAAGTTTCAACAACAACAAAACATAATCAATGTAGTTTTATTATTTCCATCATCAAAGTTCACACTGTATACTTCTCCTCTCCTTGTCTTTGGGTTTTGTGATAATGAGTATAGCTACTGTGCAGCTCATTGAAGACCTCTCGAACTCCTGTGTGCAGCCCAGCCATCAGAAACTTGATATCCTGTTCCAAACATAGGTCCAAGATCATATAGATGCCCTCAGTCAGGTGTAGTTTAACGTCTGGCTGGAGAGTAACCTTTGAGATAAAGACAAACGTATCAGCAAAGTTGGGTTACTTGATTGTAAAAACAAAAAGGCACACACTGAAAACAAATATATGACTTATGACTATAATTATACTGAGTTTATATTGACTTAAATTGAGCATTCATTCACATTCTTCACAACTACCAGCTGCTGTATTTGAAATGCTTCTCTAGCCAATGGTAATTTCTTTGGAAAATGCTGAGTCAAGTTAAGAATCATCTAAAATACGTGGTCACAGCAGAGCTGCATTCATAAACCAGACATTACTCACTGTTTTATAGGAACAAATGTATTTTAAGCTTGTATGCCTAAACAAGTCAAGATATTGTTATTATTTTAGTAAATAAATAAAACATAATAATAATAACAGAACTTTTGATGATACTCAGACGCTTTATATGGCATTATTACTCACTCCATACACAGTGGTGATTAACTAATAAAGTAGCCACAGCTGCCCTGGGGCATACGAAGTGAGGCAACTAATATGTGCCATCGGCCCCTCCAACCACCACTAACCATTCACATACACACCAGAATAATTCTAGGCAATGCGGGAGAAGTGTCTTGCCATGTGACATGACAAAAGTTTGGCACTTTACAGCTGCAGCCGCCCCACTGTGGCACCTGGCGTTCCCAGAGGTCTCCTATCACACTTAAAAGGTATGTGGGAGGATTTTCTTCTTCCGGGTCGATCATCTGGACTATTGGTCCTCTTAATTGTCAATCATTCTGGTGATATGCGAGACACGTTTTAACCCTCTGAGGGCGGTAGAGTGCAGTACCACTTTTGGCCAGATTTTTACCTACTGCTCCTATAACAATGTAATTTAAGTTGTGTTTTCTGTTCTTAATTAAAAGAAATGGATGGAAAACAGGACATATTGTTGTTTTCTAAAATCAGAAGCATGGGGGGGTAAAATCCAATAATTATATTCTATCTATTAATAATAATAATAATGCGTAAAGATTAGAACTGTTTACTCCGCTGGAAGCTCAGACTTTCCATACATGTGACTTGTGTGTAGTCGAGAGTACCTTCTGCAGCTCTGTGACGTACTGAGCCACTATAAAAGACGACAGAGTTGTGAACTCCTCAGAAGCAGCAGCTATGTGCGAGTACATCCTCTGCACCAGCCGGGAACAGCGCAGGGAGACACCGTTGTCTGGACACAAATACAAACATGTACAGGAAAAGTTGATGTTTTTTATACAACGACGCTTAAAAATGACTATTGAAAATCAAGCAGTACTCATGATGCTACCTGTGTAACACTCTTTCCGTTGTTTCCCCTCCTGCATGATTGAAGACACCAGGCGGTAAAACACATTCAAAAATGATGGAGCTGCTTTGAGCATCACCTGGGGGCATAAAGAACCGCTTACATTGACTCACATGTATTTATAAACACATTTACACATATATAGGGGCGACAGTGGCACTGTTGTTAGAGCATTGGCCTTTGGGCCGAAGGTTGTGGGTTCAAGCCCACCACGAGTCCTACTTCACAACTCCCACTGATGACTGCTGTCGTTGTGTCCTTGGGCAAGACACTTAACCCCCCTTTGCCTGGAGCCCTGCTGGAAGATCAAGCCTACTGTGGACTCACCACCTGCAGAAGGATCAGTGATTCCCCAGAAATGGATTAAGGGGAAGATAATGGATGGATGGATGTACGCATATAGAAAACTTCAAAAAACTTTTCTGTCAAATGAGGTCATTAATTTAGCGCATGCCAACCTCTATGTGCTGCCAGCTCCTAAAGTTCTAAACACCACTCCCAAGAGCTAATCACTTCGTTACACAGGTTTTACTACTATTCCTGATATAATGTATTCCCCTCTGAGGGCTGTCTTTTTGATCAGCTTTGCTTTCTTGTCTTCACACACATCTGATATTAAAATGTTTTGGTTTCATTTTGTTTGGTTTGCTTCAGCTTACCTATTTGTAGTCTTTCAAAACAAATTTTCAAACCACATTCATGTAAGTGAGTAATCTTAAAAAGGTCTTTTATGTGGACAAATTTACTTAGATCACATGTATAGAGTCAAGTGGACTAACAATATCACTATTGAACTGCTCACGTACTCACACAGGTAACAAGTGGACCAGGGCACACCTGTTTGCTACTTTCACATTTTCACAATGAAATCTTAAATTAGCCAAAAGTCCATTCCATCTAAACCAAGAGTACCCCACCCATGAGTCACATACATGTCTGTAGAATTTCTGTATTATTGAGTAATACCTGTGGATGGCACTTAATGATGGCGAACAATGCCTCATGAATGGCGGTAAAGGTTTCCTCATACACTGCTGGAGCCAAGCGGTCGAGAGGAACACACTGAAGCGCTCCCAGGAACATAGTCACATGGTGAGGGTTGACGATAACTCCCTCTCCCTGCCGTAGCAAAGTTGTGACCGCTGCAACCACAGGAACCGTGAACGGAAGGTTCAGAGAGGCATCCAGGCTGGAGGACCTTACCAAGAACTGAAGACACAGGCATCATTGTTAAGTTCATCAGGACAGCAAGTGACAGCATGTGATGCTGGCCCCGGTGTAAGTAAACAGTTATTTAAGAAAAGTTAAAACACATGATTAAACATGACTCTCCTCGACGACATACACCAATCTCGCTATCGATCCACAATTGATAAATGTTCAGACAACTAAAAATAAAATTATGAGATATTGCTTCTTCAGGCATGTTTTCTTACCATCATTTTTGATATAATCTGAGGTGCAATGAGCCACAAAGCATTAAAGCAGGGCTCTGGTAATGGACAACAAAACATCATCTTAATGAGGATTACTGTGGAAAGCACCTCCTGAGGAAAAATTGATATTGAGAGTTTCTCACAAATTGATTTTCATTGACATATTTTACAAATAATATAAGGATTACCCTGTAGTTTCCACCCTCAATATTCCCAGTGTCCAATCCTTCTTTGATCTGCATGAGCAGCAGGCTGAATCTCTCTGACGAACATTTCTCCACTAGGTGGCATAAGAGCTTTTGCACATCTGGCTCCAGAACACAGAGGTCGCTTAAGCTCAACCACCGAGCTAAAATCAAAAGTTGACAAGTCAAATAGGCATAAAACATGAACATTTAAGTGCAAAACATACTGTACCTGTCAACAAACTCTGTGAGCTGTTAAGTATTGTTGAAAAGAGGGTGTCCAAATCTTGACTTTCATTGTTTTCTGCCGTCTGTTCAACTGCAGAGTAAAATGTGGACAGGAAACGCAACGACGATGCTAAAAAGTCAATGGGCCTAGGAGCAGAGTTGATTTCCTTGAGTATCTGGAGACTTGAGACTTGGTAGAGGGGCATATAACCAATGGAGTGTGTCTTTTTGTTCTCCTCGACTGAGAGTAAAGACAGCTCACATTGCAGCATAACTGTGACTACTTCAACCACAAAGGCCTGACTGATTGTGCTGGACAACTTTATGGCAGAATGGGGCTTTAGGAGTGACTCAACGGCAAGCCCAAGAGTGGCTGTGGTCTGCGTGAGTATGTGAGTCAGCAGTTCATCCAGTGATTTGCCCTTTCCCAAATTAGAGGTTAAGGTACAAGAGAAAGTACTGAGTGATGCAAGCAAAACATGGCCTGTAAGAACAGATACATTGTCGTTTGCTTTGTTTGTAGAGCTTTGTGGATCTACCAGCTTGTCTTTTGTTTCTTTACTGCAAAGGAAGGAGGCAAACTGATTCAAGTTGAGGCGGACACTACTGCTTCTTGTGATAATTAATTGGACCAAGCATTTTATGAAGACTTGCATTTCCTTGACCAGGTCTATCCACAAATTTTCAGAATGTTTAGTCGTTTTTCTGCTCTTCCGCACAACACTTGACACAACAGCCTGTAACAGAGTTCCCCCATGAATGAACTTCAAAACACTTGGAAAGTTTGTGCCATCCAAGAGAGAAATCAAAATCTGCAGGATTTGTTGTAACAAAGCAGGATGATTAGGGTCATCTTTATGGTGCACAGGTTCCACAATTTGACAGGATATGGAGGTGAGCATGAAGGACAGGAAAAGGAAACAAGTGGACAAATCTTCAGAACTCATCCCATCTGGGTTTATTCCGTGTATTATTTGGAGTATTCTCGATATGTCCTTTGCTTGCATAATACTAAGTTCCACACTTGCTTTGCCATTTGTTAAAGACGCCAGAATTCCCTGAACTGCAACCTCTTTTGAAATCACAGAAGTTTGTTGGAGAATGGCCAAGTCTGGATGAGCCATTTTGAGGACTCTAAGGAGACTTTGTAAAAGAAATTGAACGGTGGAGGAAAATAAAGTAGGTAATTCTGGAAAAATATGGCTTTTAAGAAACTGAGATGAAATCAGAGAAATGGACAGGCAGTTGGGCTGTGGGTCCTTGTCTTGAGCGGGTCTTTTAAGCTGTGAACCTACAAGAACGGTGGCAATAGAATGAATATCTTTGTCACAAAGATAAGGCAAAATCAGAGGCAAATGTGAGGTGACAAGATACCAGTATGCAACCAGATCAGTGCAGCCATTTACAGTATAGATCTGCCCATCCCATTTGTCATCAACATTAAGGCACTTCTCAATCTCCTCTTCAGCAGAAATAAAGTGGGCTGCCTGGTTTAAAACTGCTGGAGTATTTGATTCAGAAATCATGACGGGATTTGACAATATTTTCTTCATCTGCTGTACTACAAGATGTCTACGAAGCAAACAGCTATTTGGACTGCAGGACATTCCAGGCGACTGGGGAAGCAGCTTTCCTGAAATAAGACTTTGTAGAATATTAGAAGCATGGCTGGTATGTTCTTCAGTTTCATTTTTTACTTCATGAAAATCTTCTGGAGATGTATATTTGCCACAGTGGATGCTGAAGAGTGTATCCACCTCCACCCACGTGTATCTAAGGAGCAGAGTTGCCTCTACGGCATTTGTAATGATCTGGTTCTTTCTTTTCAAGGAAGGAACCTCTTGTTTTGCTTTCTTTGGTGTTTTTTTGGGTGGGTTAGTCTGAATATCCACCTCTTGCAAATAGTGTTGTAACTCGTTATTTACTTCATACAGAGAGTCCATGAGTTTTTGACTTTGCCTTACCAACGGAAGAGGAGAGCTATTGTCAAGTGTCTTAAAACTAAACAAAACTGAATGCAGAATCTGACTCAGAGACAGCAGTTTTAGGGATGATTCCCCATTTGATATGATTTCCCTCTGCCCATTCGGTTTATTTTGAATTGCTTGTTTCTCTGGAATGTGTTGTTTGATACTGTGCAGCAGTAATGAGCAGATTTCGATTACTTGAGCCGGTGGAGTGTCCAGCAGACAGGTCTTGAGAGTAGAGGCAACGTCTTTAGACAAAAGAGGTCTAGGCTGGTTAAGGTCTGTCTCACTTATTACAGACACAAGATCTGAGAAGAATTTCGGTAGCTGGCGAAGTTTAGTGTAAGTCTGAAGAAGACTTCCCAACAAGACCTGTAAAAAAGCAGAATATAACAAATAACATGCATGAGTAAAGCAACTGAACAAACCAAAATGTTTTGTATCTGTTAGTTAAAAAATTTAAATATTTTACATGGATATAGATACATTTATGAATAAGAAAAATATTTGTATGAAAAAATAATATATTTTTCATATTCAAATAAAGTAGTATACCTGCTTGGCTCGTGATACTCTTGTATCTGTGCAGTCCATGTTGATCCAGGCCAATGATAATAACTGCTCTAGGTCAGGTTCGAGAATCAGATGATTTAGACCTAATAAAGTCTTCAAACAGCGATACCATGCTGGAATGCTGTAAATACCGGATACAATTCTGTCAGCAGTGTTATCCATATTACATGATTAAAAGCACATATTTGTTTCAGTACCTTGGCTGAGCTTGTTTGAGCAGCATTTCTGCCATGAGTCTGTAAAACCTGAGTTGAACATTTCCATGTCTTATCCGATCTGCTGCAACATTGTAGATATCCCCAACAAGAGCGTTATTCAATAGAGACTCAACAGAGAGAAGAGCCAGGCTCCAACTTTTAGGGCAACAGGGGGTATTCTGAGAACTGTCTGTGTTTTTAGATAAATGTGATTCCAGACCCAATTCTAAGGTATTAGATAAATTAGCTAGAAAAAAGAAACACAAATTCCCTCGCTCTTCATTTTGTTCTCCTTTTGTTGTCCCATAGCTTTCCAGAAATAGTTTGAAGAGTACCGACACCATGTCAGACTTTACAGAATAGTAAAGTGTCGGTTCACAGCTGTTCTGGACAGTCAATTTAGTGAGCAAAACACTAGCAGGCCTCAAAGAACCTTTTCCTCCTCCCGCTACTTTCTTCCCAGAATCCACCTTTGCAAGCTCATCTTGGTACAGCGACAATGACTCGGGTGCAAAAAGGGCCAACTGGAGGATTGTGTCAATCTTGGTGCGGATATCTCTGCATATCTGCTGAGACAAGGGAAGCCATGTGGAAGAAGACTGAGCAGTTGATGACAGCCAGTATCTTAGTAAAATCATGGGTTGGAAGAGCTGGTTGGTCACTAAAGTAAAGACTCTATTAGGATTTGCTTGTTGTCGTTGAACCAATGAGTAACATGTCAATGCAAGCAGCAAAACTTCAAACAATTTTGTTGAAGCAAAGTTTTCTGCTAGAATAGTATTTTTTGAGTCTGCCGATTTATCAGGTTCATCAAGATTGTCCAATTCTTCTTTGTCTGTGTTACTTTGACTTTGCATATGTGACACATGGTCAGATGTTGGTGATCCTGAAAGTTGCTGTAGTTGGTGACAAGCCAGTGATATGAACCTGGATAGTAGAGAGACCATCAGTTCAAACTTTGTAGTGAAGACTGAAGAGAGAGTAGGAGTGGACAGGATCCCCTGATACACATTCAGCAGTGTGGACAAGCCCACTGCTGCCACTGACTGAGACTGCTCATAATCTTGAAGACGTTCAAGCAGCAGCTGGAAACACAGAAATGCACAGCGGTTTTTTTTCCTGAAGTAATCAATAAAACTATAGAAGTCAACCTAAAGCCGAGGAATCAACGTAAATTCAAAGAAGTGTAAAAATGTAAAGCACACCTGTGCCATATTGAGTCGTAGACTGACAGATTTTCCCTGCTTGAGAAAAGAGTGAAGTTTTTTGCTGTGAAGAAGCTCATCAAGGTAACACCATAGGCCTTCCAACACTGTTTGAGAAAACTCCACTTTCTTGTTGTAATAACCAGTTAGTGCATGAGTGCACCAATCCAAGAGGACCTGTGAAAATAAAATAAAGATGTTAGTGTTTTGAAAATGTTTTATGTATGGTTGGAAGATCATATTTACCTGCTCTTTATTAGGCAAAAGGCATTGCGGAGATATCCACGCAAAACGTGCAAGCTTTATCTTGTCCTCCCAGGGTGTCTGAGTGCTCTTCAATTTCAGATGGATTCCCGAATAAATGGCAGCCATCCTTCCAGTTGAAGTGACGGCTGAATGATGTGAGAAGGATTACTCAAATAAACACAAAGATGAACACCAGTAGATGAACTGTAAGCAACGAGACAGAATATCAGGAAATGCTAACAGTAATTAGCTCTCGGGAAATGCTAGCTTGAAACAACACAGAAACGCAAGCGCTTCAAGGATCGTCATCAGATTACACAGCCCATACATATATTAAGACAGATGGTGACTTAAAGACCTCAAAGACCCGAGAAAAATACTTTTACCTACACGTGCGTCCTGTTATTACACGCCGCGATCTTTACCTTTCACCCTTTGAAACCAGACACAACTAACCGATAACCAACTTGTTGAAAGCAACGTGGATTGTACTCTCCACTTTACACTCACAAACAAACAAACCATTATACTTGCACGTTGCAATTATGATGTTTGCGAGTGTGATAACATTTTAATATGTTTCGCATGGGAATTTGGTGTGTAATTTTGGTAGCAGTAACACAGAATTTGAGTGCGATTGCTCTTGTCTGTAAAAGTAACTTCCGTCACGTGACGCTGCTGCTCGTCGATTCAGTCGTGTGAGGACGAGTCCAGGAACAGGGTCACTTCAGTAATTCATTCCTATTTAATATTACATGTACAGTAGTACAATAGTACAATGCACTATCTTTATATCGTTTAAGATTCTTTGAATGGGAGTATTTTCGTTTCTTGACAATGCTAGTTTGATCCTTGTGGTAACGTGAGTCTTTCCTTACACACTGCCACAGATGATAGTGGCAGACGGGGTGTTGTAGGGTGTTGTTGGAACGCTGCTAAGAGATAAGAGATGCTGTGGACATACGGTTGTATGTTCCGATGATAACGACAATGAATTGACTCTGCTCATGGACTAACTCCATAACAAAGGCGGATCTAAAAAAGGTTATATCCTTATTAAACTAGCGCTGTCATCAAATCTAGCTCTCCCTTGAAGGAAGTTCTAAATTGGTGGATTTACAGTCTTTCTGGAAATGCGATTTTTAATTCGATTGACCAGTAGAGTGTGTTTATCTAAGCTGAAAGTGGACTGCTCCTTCAAAAGATTATGGCTCGACCACCGGCTAAAATTGTCCACTACCTACTGCAGAAAGAGACTGCTGTCCACTTCCTCACTCAACCCGTCAACTTGGAGCCAACACGGGGGAACGGGGAACCCGTTCGTGCATTTACACCGAACTGTACCTATTGCCTATAGCAGATCATTTGCACAGTATACACCACAGAATGATAACGAAAAAACAGACCAGTCCAAACAAATTGTCCCATTGGAAGATGTCAGAAGAATGTTAAAACTTGCTTTTCCAGAGAGATGGAAACTTACAGGTACCTACAGCTTTTGTATTCCTCTTTCTCATAGTATTCATAATGTATCATAAGGCATTCAACATTTTCTTGTACATTTTCCCTCAGCGGCTATAGGCTTCTTGTCCATCTCGAGTGCAGTTACCATGTCGGCTCCCTTTTTCCTGGGTAAAGTCATTGACACCATTTATTCCACTGGATCAGACCCAGAAACAATAGCAGCGTCCCTCACATCCTTGTGCCTCATGCTCTCTGGGGTGTTTCTCTGTGGTGGAGCTGCTAATGCTGCCCGAGTGTACCTCATGCAGACCTCCGGTGAGTTGAGCTGTTGTTTTTTTACGCTATATTATAATTTGATGTTGGCATACACCTTTTATTAACAATTGTGTTATTACAACTGCAATTTCAAAAGTATTCTTATATCTACAGGTCAGCAAATTGTCCGTAATCTCCGCGATTCAGTCTTCTCCTCCATTCTGCGGCAAGAAGTGGCTTTTTTTGATAAAAATAGGACGGGAGAGCTTATCAACCGTTTGTCTGCTGACACCACTGTGGTTGGCCGTTCAATAACAGACAACTTGTCTGATGGCTTGAGGGCTGTTGCTCAAGCGGTCGCGGGTGTCAGTATGATGGTGAGCACTGGTTCATTCTTTTGTAAATGCAAAGTATTTTCTTTTATGATGTGTAAAGAGTGAACAAGGAACTGCTCAAAGTATGCGACACCACGATTACTTAACATTTACTACATTGTGTTTTGTAAATATCAGAAAAGGAAGTCATTTGAAGCAGCTTTTCCTTATTGCATACTATATACACTCTACTTAATTCTCTTAACTCTCATTAGTTCCTTTTGTGTGATTACAGAAGCTTTAATTTGAATTCAAGCTTACCGTATTTTCCGGACAAAAAGCGGCACCTGACTAAAGCCGCATATCTATTTTTCAGTGAGAAATTAAATGTTCTACTTGTACAAGATGCACTGGATTATAACTCGCACCTGTTATTGAAACTGAAAAATGTAACTCAAAACTTTCATGTTCTTAGTATCGTAAGAAGTGATAGATACTGTAAGAAGAAAGATAAGGATCAACATTACCACGGCTCTTTTTACTTTCATGTCTATACAAAGAACAGAAAACTATTTATTATGAGACATTTAGACAAAGATAATTTTTGGCACCACAGATAAAAAATAAAAAAATTAGCTGCATATACTATAGGCAGCAGCCTTCAAAATGCAGGAAAAAAAGCGGCATCTTATAGATCGAAAAATACGGTACATTTAAAGGTGCCATATTTCGCTTTTCTTCATTTTTCACAGTTCATCCTATGCACATGTGTGATAATGATTTGGGTGATACTCCATATGATACTCAAAACTTCAGTTATAGCCATTTCGTGCATAGAGCTGATGTCACCTCTATAGGAGGATCTTGGATTGACGTTGTTGTTTATAGTTTTTCCGCGCCGGTCACGTGACTGCATGGGTGGCAAAACAGCATAGAAAGCCACCTGGATGCTAGAGAGTTAGCTAGTTTTAGGTTTTCCTAAATCAAATGGTCCATTCTTGTTGTGTGGTCGGTTGTACGGCCCGCTGGGGCCAGATAAATTTGTTTTAAATTAATCCTTCGGAGAAAAAAAAGTTTAAAGCGGCTGCGGTAAAGTGCTTTGCACATTAAAAGCGGGTTGCCTCTATATGCCGTTACCTACAATAAACGTAGAAAGGGAAGCCGGGGGGGATGAGGGGATAAAAATTCATTAAAAAATGTAAGTTTTGAAACTACTTTCACGGCACACTTGTTCACTGTGATGATGAATTTTAAACATTACATTTTGGTTGTTCATCCCCACGGGCTCCTTTTCCACGTGTACCATAAGTAACAGCATAAAGAAGCAACCCGCTTTTAATGTGTGGACCACTTTACCGCGATGGCTAAAAGCCGGGCCACTTTACCGCGGTGAAAAACGCAAGAAATGGTTTTTCACCACGGACCCTTCTTGCGTGAAGGGTCCTGGGTTTTCTATGAAGTAAGAATGAATGTCTCCCAGCAGATCGGTGCCAAGACAGAGGCGAGTCTGACCAATGTTTTTTCTCATCATCCCAGGTCTCATATGAGGTTTGGATTTGTTCAGTTCGGTCTCATATACTTATTTTCAGCTTGTCTTTATATCTCCTCTGATCTTCTTGCGTTAAAGTGCTTAAATATAGTGCGTTTCGCCCACTGAGTCTTTTAAAAGTACTCGTCGTATCCATGCTTCAGTATGTGCCGCTCTGTCTTCTTGCCACTCAGCAAGTGGCGCATGCGCACGTGGACGTAAACAAAGATCCTCCTATCGAAACGCTTGGATCTGTGCTTCTCTGCCTGTGAGCCCGCCTCCCCCCGCCCCACGCTAAGTTCCGAGGTAAACAAGAGCTAACTGTACAGCTTTCGCTGTTAGAGCCATTTCACACCTGAGAATAAATTTTATCCAATAATGGCAACCCGTCACATAGAGCCCTATCCAGAATCAGACCCAAATTATTTAGTTTACAGTGACATACGGCGAGTTAGTTGTATTGTACTCACAAAGGCTCCTGTTAGTGTCTTCTATGTTGGGAATAAGACCAGGTTTCCTAATCAGCTTTTGAGTAGGTCCAGTTTCAAGGTGGTGTCACTGTCATTCGCAAAGAAAAATCTGAGTTTCGTTGCGGATTTCAGAGTCACGTTTTCGAGGCAGATCCCCGTGAACAAAGTCGATCCCCGTTCTCTGTCCTCGGGCCAAATACTTTTGTCACATATTTACTACAACAACACATTTTCTCCAAGATGACATGAAACTAACACAAAAAAGCGCATACGCTTATTTACAATCTACGGAGAAGACGCTGGACTCGGAGAGAGGCTGACCTGACCATAGATGCCGCTGATTCGCTGGTTCAGTTTTTCCCCTCTGTCAATCACCTCTTGGAGGCGGGTTTTTGACGTCATAGATTATACCACGTCACGATTTGAAACAGCAAGTTTCTGTGCCTCTCGAAAATGAAATAGAAAGATTGCTCTCTAACTAAAGCTTGACAGAATCAATGAAAAAACTACTCTGGGCATGTGTATGAAGGCCAAAAAGCACAGTAATCATGTTTAAACCAGAGAAAAGTCAAACTGCGTATTATAAACCTTTAAATATGTGATAGCCGCCTTCAAAGAACAGTTCGTTAAAAGTGTATACTTTTTTCCCCCCTTAGTTCTATGTGTCTCCCAGTCTGGCCAGCTTTGTGCTGCTGATAGTCCCTCCTGTGGCAGTCCTTGCTGTGGTTTATGGCAGATATCTTCGTTCCATCTCCAAGAAAACACAAGATGCACTAGCGCAGGCCACTCAGGTACTCCATATGTTTACCATAAATTGACCTTTTTATCTAGCAATGAACACAGTATTTAACGAAAATATACAATGCAGTGCGGACTGGCCCAACAAGTTTCACACACTAGAATTGAATATCTATAATTAGAATTAAAATCAAAAAACCACATGGACCTTGGCTAATACACTCATACATGTTGATGTTTGTAGTTGGCAGAGGAACGAATCAGCAACATTCGCACTGTCCGGGCCTTTGGTAAAGATCTTTCAGAGGTCGTCGCATACTCCCAGAAAACTGAAACTGTCCTCAGTTTGGCCAAAAAGGAAGCAGTGATCAGAGCTGGCTTCTTTGGGGTGGTAAGTGTTTTAAAATGTTTAGTTTTCAGGTAACCAAAGGGTGAAATGTGTGTGTAAAACAATGTAATTTTTTTGTGTGGATAAGATCTGTCACCTGTCTTCTAATGAACACGTGAAATTGTGTGTTGCAGACTGGACTGAGTGGAAACATCATGATCTTGTCCGTGCTCTATAAAGGAGGACTTTTGATGGCCAACCAGCACATGTCAGTGGGAGAACTGTCCTCTTTCCTCCTGTACACCTTCTGGGTCGGCATTAGTGTCGCAGGTAATTGACCTGTGCTTCAATATTATTACATTTTGCAATAATGAAGTTCACTAACTATACAACTAACCCTGTGTTTCTCAGGCCTCAGCAATTTCTACTCTGAAATGATGAAGGGTTTTGGGGCAGGTGCCAGACTGTGGGAACTGTTGGACAGGACGCCTCAGCTTCCTCTAAATGGTATGTTTTAAATTAGCAAAAACATATCATTCAGTGTAGTCTTAAATATTGAGAAATTATTATATATTGTATACTACACAGATACATTTTATGAACTAAAGAAATATTAGGTTGCAAAAAATACTTCTTTCTTTTGTTTATTTAACAGTTTTGAGTTGCAGTTATTCAAAGCCACTTTATTTGTAATTTTTTTACTCAATGCAACTGCTTCTCTTTAATTGTGTTGTGAAAACCAAGTTCCGTTACTACATAGATCAAAGTATACTATTTTATTTGCTCCATGTTGCACAACACATCTCTTTTCATCCACAGAAGGTCTAGTCTTGGATGCAGATAAGATGAAGGGGCATCTGGAATTTTCTGATATTACTTTTGCCTATCCCACTCGAAAAGAAGCTCCGATCTTCCAGAACCTCAGTCTCCTGGTGCCTGCAGGTTCCATTATGGCTGTTGTGGGGTCCAGTGGTTCAGGAAAATCCACCCTGGTCTCACTGCTGCTCAGGCTCTATGATCCTGACACTGGTGAGAATTGTCTTGTTTGATTAGACGGTACACATGATAATACTGTGACTGCTTCTACATAACATTTTAAATTGTGTTGTAAAGTACATGTCTCAGGTTATTTATTCATATTATACCACTTGTATTTCTTTATTTATGTAAGAATTTCAGGTATGTTTTCACACAAAGAATCCAAAGTAAGCCAGGCGCCAGTTTTGGCTCTCAGCCCAAAAGCGGCATGGCTCTAATTCATAACCGTCAATTACATCAACTGCCCAGCTCTCTTTAATATAAATGTGTAGTCTTACTTGCATAAACTTAAAAGTTGCACCATGCAGGTTTTTGTGTTGTCTTTTTCTTGTTTTAATTTGAGACGTTTTATTTTATTTCTACCTGATATCAGCCTTGCTCAGGAACTATACTACTGTGCCTTTTTATTCATTTCTATACAGGAGTTATTACACTAGACGGCCATGATATCAGAGATCTCAACCCTTACTGGCTCCGTAGCATCATAGGAACAGTAAGCCAGGTAATAATAATAATTTAATCACTTCAGCATTTCACTTTTTGTTTTTATGGCATTTTATAATTTAATATGTTTGGTTTTATTTATTTCCCAGGAGCCTGTGCTGTTTTCTTGTTCGATCAGAGACAACATCACATACAGTGCTTTAGAACCAAGTGCTGTAACAACAGAAGAGATTTATCAAGTGGCCAAAGCAGCAAATGCATACGAGTTCATCCAGGCCTTTCCAAAGGGTTTTGACACTGTAGTGGGAGAGAAAGGAGTTCTGTTGTCAGGTAGGCACAGCTCATATCCTTAGTTTGGTATTCACTGGCACCTTTGTGTAGCCTGCTAGACTGCTTCAAATGCCAATTCATACAGGAAATAAGAACTTTGTTCTTGCACCTTGATCTATGAGAATAAAATGACGTTGTTCAAGTTTTATGTAACACAACTGATTAGATGGTTGGTCTGATTTATGTTAAATCGATTTATCTTGTGTGAAATCAATCGTACATTTTTTTTATTTCAGCCATTGACTGATAGAATACATAAGCAGTTGTCAACTGCCACTGTACTTTAAAGCAATAACAAAACAACTATGGGAGTGGTTGGATTCAATCATTCTCTAGCCTTTTTCTTACAGCTCAGGACGAGAACAAAGTTCATTGTTCTCTATAAAGTATTACTAAAGCTGAAAATGAATACGTAAAAAGATACAATTCATTAGAGCCTATTATACTTTTTAGGAGGACAGAAGCAGAGGATAGCAATAGCCCGAGCCCTACTTAAGGTGAATATTTTATGTATTTTAAACTCAACCCTCACATAAATAAGAGCATTTTATGTTGAATTTAAATGTTGAAATTATCTTCCCAGAATCCCAGGATCTTGCTCTTGGATGAAGCCACAAGGTGAGAAAAATAAAGATGAACTGTGAGGCATTATTGCTGAATTCTAAATATTATTGCCCCCAGTGCTTTAGATGCAGCAAATGAGTTCTTGGTCCAGGAAGCATTAGAGCGGTTAATGGAAGGTAAACCTGCCCTGAACCATTATTATTTATCGTTGGAAGTACGTTTGGTCTATAATCCGTTACTTTGAATTTCACAGGAAGAACTGTCTTGATTATTGCCCACCGCCTCTCTACAATACAAAATGCAAATGCTGTGGCCGTTTTGGACCAGCAGCGGATTGCAGAGTGCGGCCAACACACAGAACTACTGAGCAACAGAGAAGGGCTGTTTAGGAGACTGATGGAGAAGCAGGCGTTTCTGCAAGAAAAGCAGAAACGAGCCCTGAGTTAAGAGCACACGGCTTTAATACAAAACTAGATTGTAGCATTCGTCACAATACACATACGCCTTCATAGTTATGGCAATTTTTAAACTTGTGGCCACAAGTCAAGTCACTGTCTGTGCCATTAGTGAAAGAAAAGATATTCTTAATTTATAATTGATATGTTATAATGTTAATTTGTGATGTTAAAACTGCACTGTTTTTAACCTATGTAAGGAGATGTTGCTAATTTAACACATGCAGCTATTGTTTATTATGTAGGTTTGAACACTATTTTGATATTCTTGAAGTATAATATAGATTTATATCTGCAGATATAATAACTTTATGCGTCTCCATTCAGAAGGACAATGTGTTCTTGGATGTTTCTATTCTTGCTAAGAGTAGATGGTGGTGAAAATGAGTAACTTGTGAAATATTTAGAAGATTATGTGTTGAAGTAAAATATAAATAATGGGACTGTTATTTTTATCTGGGGTAATATATTATTTGAGGGTTAGTAAAATAAAGCCCTGTCCAACCTACAATTCTGATATTATTTGCATTGGTAAACACATTTATATATATAATTGTATGAACAAACAGCAAGAAGGTCCTGGATTCGAACCCCGGTCGGAACAGGGTCTTTCTGAGTGGAGTTTGCATGTTCTCCCCTCTGTCTGCGTAGGTTTGCTCCGGTTTCCCCCACCACTAAAAACATAGGTAAAATCCTCCAGATAATGTAGTCCTGACCAAGCCATGCATCAACATCTGGAGATGGGTTCCCGGGCGCTGCTACTACGGCGACCACTGCTCCTGACGTAAGCCTTAGCGGCATCAGGATGGGTCAAACGCAGAGGAGAAATTTCCCTACGGGGATTAATAAGTTTACCTTTAACGCAGGTTTCAATCTGGGATCTGTTCAAATGGTGACTGGCCTGATAAGGAAAGTCTCCCATATTAGAAGTAAAGTATTACAACTGACTACCACCAGGCAGTGCTGTTGAGTCATGATTGGACCATAGACTGATTGGACGTGTGTCCCTGTTCGACCTTTTATTATTGTTGTTTTGGATGCTACTGACTTTTAGATGCCTATCGACGTCACAGACTACAATTATAATCATTCACTGTTACTTTTCTATTTCTTTATATCATACAGTCAACCAAACCAGCCATCGTAATAGGGTGAACCACTATGGAGACGGTAATTTGTGTTTTCTTTGTTCACTCGTTTTGATAAATAAAGAACCTTTACAATTGTAAGTGAAGCTGTGACCCTCTGAAAATCAATCTAGTGACTTCAGTCATTAAGGACATGCATCGTTCAAAATAATAGCCTGGAATGAGTCACAATTAGATTCAGTGATGTTTGTTGACTTCCACACATTGTTTAGAAAAATACTCTTTGATGTTAAAGCTGTAGTACCTACCTTTAAAATCCCAAACAATCATGTAAAAAAAGGGTTCTCAAAACTGTCTAAAACTAGTTTTGACATGCATATATTTTTGGCCTCTGTCACCCTCACTCAGCTCTGTTTTCTATTCAGTTACAAAGTTCCGGTCTAATTTGTTTACAAAACGTTAACAAACTATTGGAACAAAAAATATATTTGATTTTTTTTAAAGTACAAATTATGTACACCAATTACATTCTGCCATACTCGATAAGTGTATTTGTGAGGAGTTCGGAAACGGCATAGATCATGCCGGATTTCACCAGATGGTTTATTTTGTAAATGTAAAAAGAACAGAAAAGCAGATTAACCAAGATCAGACTCCATACTCTTCACTGCAATGTCAAGGTCTGTCACAAATCCTCAGTTTAGAAAACGCTGTCTTCTTTGCAAAATCATTAAATCCAAAGGAAATACTGAATGAACGACTTATAGTCCACTCAAACAATGAATGATTAGCTGGAAAAAAGATTTTCTTCTCAAATAACAATAAAAAGATTGCTTATTACCTGGTGAAGCACATGCTTCCAAACTGAAAGTACTGAATAGATATCAAAAACACTGCTAATGTCTGATAAGCCATCTCCGGTACTGTCTCGGCACACAACACAGATTTGTGGTGCCACCTGCTCCACATGCCCAACCAGCCTCCCCTCCCCGCCCCTCACCCTCCCCTGACCTATACCCCTGCTCTCTCTCTCTTACTACTCCTGACAACTGCACTGGTCCCATTTACATTTTAGGTGTTTGACAGCCCAGGGTCCAAAGAGGCTCACAACAAGTGCATAAAAGTAGCTCAACCTTGCTGACACCACCGCCCCCTATAAGCACATATGCCTTTCCCTCAATATACCACCCATATAACAATCTTATCTGTGAGTAAAAGGGTTTATTTTCACAATTATCATATTACTCTCTATTAACTATCACTTACAGATAAATCAGGCTAAGCAAATATTTGAATAGACCACATAGCTTTAGCCACCTCTTTTTTGGAGCCATTACATTCCTCAAAGCACATGTGTTTTGTGTGCACCGAGAAAAATGTATGTATTAATGGTAAAGAATGTATTGTTGCAGATATTTAAGCACTGTAATCTCAAAAGGGTCATTCATATTCAATCTAATACTAACTATGTGGTCAGTGCTTTAGGATTTGGAGGGTTAGCCATGTGGACATTTTGATCACATTAATGGACATAACATTGACAAAATCATTAGATAATATAGCAGAAGCACAGTTCATCTAATTCATAATATGTAGTAAAATACAAATACAATATAGTCAAACATCTCATGGAACTCTTAGATAAGCATTGCATGTTGCTGGATCACATATGTGTCAGTGACATTTGCACCACACGTCTTGAGGCATTCCAGTTGTCTCCATGTGTCATCTAAGTGGTCCATTGGCAGTTGCAAATCTCCAGTTTATTTACATGCCTTATTGCCATTTCCAATGGACGCATGTCTCGATCGTTGCAGTATTATCCATAGCAAATGTTTCCAGTTTCACGTTTTCGCGTTTCATTCCTTGATTACTGCTATTTCTGTTATATCATAACTCAGCCAGGCCCGTGCATTACTCGCTTGGCCTCCATGTGTAGCGCAGCCATGCTTCTCTCCCTCCGCCTCCTAAGTTAAAATTAATCCAACTGCCCCTGTGACAGCACAGAGTACCCCTGCAGATAAGGTGTCAGCTGTTGGCTTTTTCTTGGCGTCTTTCCTTATTTATTCAGTGCAGCTCTGAAGGCCATGTGTCTGGGGGGAAAAACGAGTAGACTGAAGTGATTTTGAAGTGGGACTCATAAAACACAATTAAAGCAGTTAAACACAGTCCCTTAAATGATTCAAAGTATTATGAAGGAATCCACAAATATAATTAGATTTGGTTTTAAAAGTATGTATCAGACATTACTCAATTTGCCAAAAGATAGGCTAATTATTTTTTCAAGATCTATAAAAAATAATAAAGCCCCAATTCACAACAAACCGTCATCATGTAATTGTTGATATTGCATGTAGATTCTTGCAACTGCAAAGTGAGGTATAATTTGAATGGGCCGTGTATTGTGCCTCATGCTTTTCCTTCAGTGTAAATTGTGTTCGCAGCACCTGTTACTGCGCTATATCTAAATTAGTTTAGAACAGCAACTTTTCGTTTTAAGATGGTATATGGCCTTCTTGCACCAAAACTATCTCCCTGCTTGGTAGCAACTGGTGTCTCCCCTAGAAACCCCCAGTCGACTGGGCTATCCATATACGGCTCTCGAGGTGGCATCGTGAGGCTCGAGGGGAGGTCAAAGCGACAGTTCCATATATGGCACGCGCTCTCTTCCACGGGCGCGCGCGGACGCTCTGATCACCCTTTGAAACTTGATGGATAGGGCTCCCTGCTTCCTTCCGAGGGGCGCGCCTTCTTGCTCACCTCGACCGGCCAGTTCCTAATATGGCAGAGGGCCGGGATGAGGGCCGGGGCCAAGCTTTGCCAATGCTGCAGCCAGGGTATATAAGGGGCATGTGCAGCAGGCAGGACGGTAGCTGGTTCAGCAACAGCACTGGTTGGGTCTTTCTCTCCGAGCCGCAGACACTCACACCTAAGGTAAGAGCCAGAGGGCCGATCTGAAGACATGAGAGAGACCAGAGTAGCAGTGGGGTTTGCAGCAGCAGCAGCCGCAGGAGCAGGGATTTCAAAGTTTCCCATCACCTCCAGGCGATGGGAAACATGCCAGACTAAGCAGCTACAATGGAACTTATTGGAACAATTTTTTTATATATATATTAAAATGCAGATAGCATGGTTCAGGACATGTATCAAAGGATCTGGAAAGCTCAATAGCTGCAGATCATGGGAATGCCCATGCACAAAGATGTTAATGCAGATTTAGTTACTGAATTTAATTGAGAATTAATAAATATTATACACTATTTGGGGAGAAATTGGCAGAACTGTTTTATTATCACTGAGCCAATTTACAAAGTGTGGCAGAATCTATGCTGAATCCATGCTGCTTATGCGTCATGCATAAAAGTGTCATCACTGTGCAATGACAAGATTTCAGTTTCAAATGAAAATGCATTTTTTGTGATAATTCATGGGGGGGGGGGGGGGGGGGGGTGATTACTATTTATTGGGTGATTTAACTCGTTTGACAAATATGTAGACCAAGAGGATTTGTAACGTGATAGCTAAATATTTATATCCCATCTTTTCCCTAGAAGCCAACATGTGTGACGACGAGGAAACTACCGCCCTTGTGTGCGACAACGGCTCCGGTCTTGTGAAGGCTGGCTTCGCCGGAGACGATGCCCCCAGGGCCGTCTTCCCCTCCATCGTTGGCCGCCCCCGTCACCAGGTGAGCAGCGGATAAATGTGCTTCACAATGAGTTGGGGTACTCTTATTAATAAAAAAATACAAACAAACAACAACAAAAAATATATTCTAAACATTGCAATTCAAATTTAGATCAATCAATCAATTTGAGATAAACATTTCCTCTGTAACCCTTTGTTACTTCACAAATATAACTTATTTACAAGACACAATTGTGGACATGAGTTACATTAAAGTCAGGGGGGGGGGGCTGTTGAGCCAGCCTGTACTTTGATACAGATACAGTTTGATAGATGAGGTTAGTGTGTAGAGAGAATGTCTTACCCTCTCTCCTCTCCTCTTCCACTTCAGGGTGTCATGGTCGGTATGGGTCAGAAGGACTCCTACGTCGGCGATGAGGCTCAGAGCAAGAGAGGTATCCTGACTCTGAAGTACCCCATTGAGCACGGCATCATCACCAACTGGGATGATATGGAGAAGATCTGGCACCACACCTTCTACAACGAGCTGAGAGTGGCCCCCGAGGAGCACCCTACCCTGCTCACTGAGGCCCCCCTGAACCCCAAGGCCAACAGAGAGAAGATGACCCAGATCATGTTTGAGACCTTCAACGTCCCCGCCATGTATGTGGCCATCCAGGCTGTGCTGTCCCTGTACGCCTCCGGTCGTACCACTGGTGAGAACACGAATAATAAGTAATTCATCATACAGCATAACAAACACAAAATAATGATAAATGTAACATTACACATTTTAAGCCTAATTTACAACTTTTACATACAACATACATACATACATTTAGCCGATAATGGTTTTTACGCACGACACGTAGCAATTAATGGCTTTACGCACAACATTTTTACCAATTTACAGCCATGTTTCGATACGCAGTGCCTCTTTGTTCAATAGTTTGCTTCCTCTTCTCATAGGTATTGTGCTGGATGCTGGTGATGGTGTGACCCACAACGTCCCAGTCTATGAGGGTTACGCTCTCCCACACGCCATCATGCGTCTGGACCTGGCTGGTCGCGATCTGACCGATTACCTGATGAAGATCCTGACTGAGCGTGGCTACTCTTTCGTGACCACTGGTGAGGACTAGAAAGCATATTCGTAAGAGAGCCAAAGAAAATACTCTTGACATAAATCAGGTCAAGCTCATGATTAGAAATGTGAAAAAACGAAGCAATTGATAATTTGGGCCTCCCAAGTCTATGCTATATAGTCTAGAAAGAAGAATTTATTTCTAGACCAATTTCTAAAAACTTTCCTTATGAAGTAATGCTAATTTAAACCTCGTTGCGCATTATGGAAGCGAGCGTGTCAGTGAGGGAAACTTTGTTATGCACTTAAGTAAACTTATAAACTTGTGCCTCTCACAGCTGAGCGTGAGATCGTGCGTGACATCAAGGAGAAGCTGTGCTATGTCGCCCTGGACTTCGAGAATGAGATGGCCACTGCTGCCTCCTCCTCCTCCCTGGAGAAGAGCTACGAGCTTCCCGACGGTCAGGTCATCACCATCGGAAACGAGAGGTTCCGTTGCCCTGAGACCCTCTTCCAGCCTTCCTTCATCGGTAATTAGCATAAAACGAAATGATTTACAAATAGTTAATGTCTTTGTTCGGTTTTAATACTTGTTCTTATACCTGCAAAGGAATGGAGTCTGCTGGTATCCATGAGACCGCCTACAACAGCATCATGAAGTGCGACATTGACATCCGTAAGGATCTGTACGCCAACAATGTGCTCTCCGGTGGTACCACCATGTACCCTGGTATTGCTGACCGTATGCAGAAGGAAATCACTGCTCTGGCCCCCAGCACAATGAAGATCAAGGTAAATACAGAAATCCTAATCCAATGCTTCCAATATTATATTATACTTGAAGACTAAATGAGGCCTTGTGTTTCTTCAGATCATTGCCCCTCCCGAGAGGAAGTACTCCGTCTGGATCGGTGGCTCTATCCTGGCTTCCCTGTCCACCTTCCAGCAGATGTGGATCTCCAAGCAGGAATACGACGAGGCGGGCCCCAGCATTGTCCACAGGAAGTGCTTCTAAATTCTTTGTCTGCTACTCCAGCTTCAACGTCTCCATCACCAGCTATCAGAAGCTTGAACAAGAAGGATCGGCCAATGCAACACAGCAACACTCTGCTGTCAATGGACTGTCAGTCTCTGCTGTTAACTTCCATATGCATTTTTTTATTTTTCTAAAATGCGCATAATTCGAAGCTGTTTGTTGTCTGTGTTGCACGGAGAAAGGCTGTGAAAACATCACTGAACCATGCATCTACCAAAAAGCTTTAATAAAAAAATAAGAACAACATGTTGCCCAACACATGTGAATGTAAGTGTATATACATATTGATAATTTATTAAAGTCCAATATTTGGTATATATTTGACCTGTCGTTTCTGTTTATAGCTTTAGAATAGTTTCGACAACAAAGGTCTTAAAGTAGAAAGCAAAAATGGACCGAACCAACCAATAAGCAGTAGGCTACCTCTCAGAAATGGCTCCTCTATATGGAGAAAGGTTGAGCACAGCAGCTGTTGGACACACTGGTAGCAGCTCCTCGGCTATGGGCAAGAATTTGCTGAGGCAGAGGCCCAACTTTAGCCCGTCCGCTTATGGGACACCCGACTCCCACTGAGCTGACCCCGCTCCAGGTCAGGGCTCCACACCATCTTTAGACAAAACCCTGTGAACAGCAGACCTCAGTCCAATCCAAGTCCACAACGTTTGTGGCACACAATAGGCTTGGCCTGAGCCATACTGCCAATGGATTTAGAATGTGTATTTAGGATATCTGAAATATCTTGGCTACCTTCAAAGTAATACATTTTAGACGAATTAGTGAGAAAATACACAAAGGCTCCCACCTGCTTACCAGGGTTTAATGTTCCACAGTTCATATTAAATTATCACAAATATTAAAACAATGGAAGCTCCTTCAACACAGTACACTTGAAGCTATAGATTGGAATAACACCTCATGGCTCTTGGTTGGACAGGAATATGAATAATATAAACGTGAAATCACTTAAAGCAGAATAAGAGAGTCCACTTGTGCTTTTCTGGAGCCACCTGTTGCGAGTGTGTTTGGCTTTTTAAGAACGCCCCGTTGCAGGCGGAGCAATGGCGCCGATTACAGCAGGACGCAGCGCCATCTGTTCTCCTGCGCCTCCGTGAAAGCCGAGCCCAGTGTAAGTGCTATTCTGAGGTCAGTATAGATAACATTAGCTTCTTACAACACTACATTTCTGCTGTCGCGCAAGGCTTGTCGAGCCTGATGGACAATGTTTTGTCAGTGAGGCAGTCATGTTTCCTCGGCTTGGCTTGTCTAAATCTGGAATCGGTGACAAGCGATTATGTGTTCTGTGTTCGACTGATTCATAGTCTTCTATTTATAGGTTGACGCAAGACCATTGTCCCAAAGTCAATATCTGCAGCTTCTGGTGAGGCTCGGTAACCTTTTGTGGCAATAAAATAGACATAGACTTTGCTTTTACCTACTGTGACTATATATTTTATGATCTAGTGTCCGCACGCGTCACATAGAAATAGAATTGGTGGTTGACCAGGACGCACAGTTTTTTGGGTTTAACGTCGGTTTACCTGTTCTGTTATTCTATATTGCAGAAGACATCAGAGTCAATAAAACCACCCATCCTTGCTCTACAAGGGGGGAGTGTGTGGGAGGGGGAGTGGGCGGTCTGTAGAGAAGCCTTTCAGCCGTTGGGCCATTTTACGCACACGCTTTGGTTTAAATATCCCGCGGTGACGCAATCCTACAAAGCAAAACAAAGAAGCGCTGGTATTTTTTGGAACTCAAAAATGGTCTATTTTTCTTTTTCAGTTAACATAAACCACCAACATGGTGACCAAAAGGATTCGCTCAGAGTACATGAAGAAGTTCAAAGACCCCAAATGGGACACGTTCAGTAAATGCTATGAGGAGATGTTGAAATACAGGCTGACCCGCAGACTCTTGGAACACACTCATATTCCCTGGTTTTGGGGAGAATCTGACACTGATTCAGAGTCTGGAGGCAGAAGTCCTACGCCTGCAGGGAAGAACCGAAACCAAGAAGACCAAGAGGTGTCTGTAAACAGAGCCGAAGGGGAACTGGAAGAGTGCAAGCAGAGAGAGACCTCCATAGCGGTACCAAGACTGGTCCTGTCAAGAGATGAGAACATAAGCAAAGGTATTCTAAAAACCTTTAATTTCTAGCATTTGCCCTGACTATTGAATAATAGTGATGAGAAGAATATACTCACATTCTACATTGTGTGTTATGTTGTTTGTAATAATTACATTATTTTACTGTATATAGCCTGAATATAGTTCCATAATATGTATTCTGTTGGTAATGTTACACACCAACATGTTTTATATTATGTGGTTTACACTATTACTACATCATGACATGTGTAGTAATATAATGTACAACTTTGTAGCCCTATAAGCCAACTGTAAGAATGTTCTTTTATTACAGGCATTGTTGCAGGAGTGGCTGAAGTAGCAGAGAATGAGCAAGAAAGGAGATGTGATGAAGGTGGACGAGCTAAAGTGTCATCTACCCTACAAGAAAAACAGACACAAGGTATAATACCAAAAACGTAAACGTAGATTACCATAAAACATATGCCATTTTTGTCAATGCACAATTATAGACATATATCACATTTTAATCTATTGTATAATTTCAATTATATAACATGGACCTGAACTTCTTATTTAAGAAGGGTGGTGGGTTCCAATTATTATAGGTTTACACTCTTTAGCCTGGCAGGTAACATGAATACTGGAGAGGAGACTTTGAAGGATCAGTAATCAAATCTCGGATTCAGGAGACAAACCGACTGCAGATGGGCATCATAACGAGTTTTCTCTGCAGAGTGGCAGAGCTCTCCCTTATTGATATCGTGGGGAGCTCGGTTACACAGGAGGAGCTCCAAGTATAGGCGCTACTCTTCCAAAACAATAAGAGCCAGCTGAAGGGTTCAGGCATCTGTTTTGGATGCCTCTCAGGAGAAGTGTTCTGGGAAAGACCCAGGACACTCGGGAGGATTTCTCTCAGCTGGCCGTGAAACTTTGGAGAAAGACTTAAAACTACATTCACTACCCGGCCACGAATAAAGTGGAAGAAAATGCACGCATGATTTTATTGTTACACTGTAAAATTAGCATCGTTTTCTTTCTGTGACACTAACCCTATGCTTTTGTGTGATCTGTTTTCATACAGTTACAACAGATAAGAAATTGCAACTTACTTCTAAACCGAGTCGAAGTCGGCGAGTCCAACCTTTGCCAACACAAGCGATAAAAGAAGACGTTAAACAAAACCGACATCCCTTCATTTTGTATGCTTCAGGTGAGAAGGACTCCGACATTGCAAGAAGAAAAACACACAACGTACGGCCTGCTGCTTCTACTAAAGAGGTAATGGTGTTTGTAAGTGTAGTTTCCACAATTTCAGGTAACATCATTATTATCTACTACAGATTCACGAGTCAGCTCTGCGTGCTAAGACCAGGAGGGAAGTAGAGAGGCAGCTCCAGTCCCAGAGAGCGGAGCGCAGGCGATCCAAATCTGCAGATGTGGACAAGGCCAGGCTGAGAGCGGTGGCACCTGAGTTCAATCCATGGCTCACTGAGTACATGCGCTGTTTCTCTGCTCGTTCTCGATAAAAAAAACAGTTTGTATAAAATCATACCATTGTAAAAAATCTCTTTTCAGTTGGTTTGTTGTAGGGGCCATGCCTGATCAAAGCATGATACGAGACAAAGTCTGTATTTACCAACAGATGAAACGTACTACCAAATGTTGTGTTTCAAATATTAGTTTGGATAAGAAAACATGCTTAAGCCATGGCTCTGAATGTCCTTTTTACTGTAATACATATTTTTTTAAATCTGATTTGTATGTATTTATTTGGCTTAGATGTTTCTTTTTTGATAAAGTGTAAAGAATCTAGTACTGCTATCACCTGACATGTTTCGGTGGCAGACTTCCGCCTTCGTCACACTTGGGGCTCACTTCTCCAGAGACCACAGCGCGGCGGGGGAATGGTCAGTCGGGCGGATCTGATGGCCACATCCAGTAACGACAGCTGATACAAGAGACACAGCATCATGTGTCACCTCCGCCTTCGTCAGAGGTTGTGTCTTGCGTTTCTTTACGCTTTATTAAAAGAACTTTCTAAACCTTATACATAAGGAGACATGGTGAACGTTTTACATTTGATCTGATTTGCTTCTGTGACATTCCTGACTGCAATAGTGTAGGTAGGCTAACTTCTGTAAGTGACAAAACATGTATTTAATCACATACAGCCATAACAGTGAAAGTGATATTGTTAAGTGGGATTGCTATATTCATGTGCTTCAGTGCTGGATCCAAAGCTAGATATTTAATCCCGGTTTCCATCGGCCTTTCTCTGCTCTGTTTGGCCTGGTCATGTATTTCTCAATCACTTCAACAGCAAATCAAGCTCAGTGGTAACCATTTATTTCAGCACCAAGCAAGTTCAGAACTGGGCCTGTTAGAACCTGGTTTGGACTCAAAGACTGGAGGATACCAGTGCAGAGCACATAGTTATGAGTAAAACTTCAGGTTTTGTTTACTTGATGATTTAATAAGTGATTTGAAATGCACCTGTGTGGAAACTAAGAGCTCTACTTACCAACTTGTGCCAAAATTATGTAAGCTCAAGATCACCCTGTGTCTTTTATATTTATATGTGGAAGAAAGAAAGTTTAATAGTTAACTATTAAAACAGAATAATGCAAATGAGTAAATATTGTGACAATCAATAATAATAAATGGGTTTATTTGAATAGATTAAAACAAAAATGTTGGTTTCAAATCCCTTATTTGACCCATGAACCATTGAATGATTTGTTATCATGAAAAAATTATAACAGTGGATCATTTTCATTGTCTGTACTGTTTTATATTAAACAGCACAAAACTGTATACCTTTTGTAAAAAAAATATTTGAAAAACATAAGCCTTTATCATACAGAATAAATTATGACATTTAACACATAAATAAAATCAAGGTGATATAAACAAGACATTTGTGCAGCAAAATGTTTTTAAATGCTTCAGTATGGACTTGACTTGGACTAGTTGGTAAACTTGAGAATGTATCCTGAAATGTTTGTTTTTTACAGAGCAGCAGATGTCAGTTAACAAATATATAATTTAAAAGCCAAGACATAGTAGCATATACAGCATACTTGATAGTGTTTAACAGCCAAATGTACCTTTGTTTTTACATACAATCTGAAATTCTACTGCTCTCTTGCCCAAGATGTTTATGCAGCCACATATGGAATCACCAAATCCTTATTTAAAACAAATATATTGCATGATTTGTATTAAATCTTGCAAACAGCCCAATCATACAGTCATTGTATCACAGTGAACCATGATAAAGATGTAGGACATGAGACATGACTAAATTATTGTCTAGATATCTATATATATTTCTTTTTGTCATTATGAAATACTTAAGATATTCTGACATGCATCTCCCATTTTAATTTATATACAGAATTACAGAGACATAGTATAATGTTGTGGAAGGGGAAGATGGTAAGAAAGTTGATGAAATTGTCATAGAACAGTTGTTACAAAGTATTCAAAAGACTATCAAAGCCTTTAAATGTATAGATATGAGTCTCAGTTGGAATGCAACATAAGAAAATGATTTATACAACTAATCAAACGAGGTCCGGCACCGTTCATTATCTTTGTTCAGTGAAATGTCATCACAATGCTGCCACTGAAAGTGCTTTAGTAAATGTGTATTTTCAGATTATGAGAACCGGTGGTCAACTTGTATTGCAGGTTTGTTGACGTGAAATGTAAGTCCTTTGTCATTACCTGGAAAATATTTGATGTGACTTGTAGTTCTCGTTGATACGCAAATGCGCATAGGGTTTTGGAAGGATCCATGCGTAAGGTGAAGTTCTAACGTCAATGACCAGTCACAAGCAGAGCACAACTTAAAGGTTGTTGTGCAACTTATTCTTCCTCTGGTATTCACAGAGCTGTTTGCAAGATACTGAGAAAATAACATAACTAATTATTATTTAAACACAGTCTCTGAACAATATTAAACGGTTAAATATATACAATGCATGTACCTTTCTTGTGTGAAATCCGGTGGGTTGTCTAGCAGCCGCACTCTTGAGTGCCTTGAGGCTGAGCTCGCCGGGGCGATCGCAGCTGACGCAAAGCAGCATCGCCATACTGAATACCTGAGCCCATCCTCTCTGGATCAAGCTCTCCTTAAAAGTGTAATGATATGATTATATGTATATGTGGACCTGTTATCAAGTGTAGAATAATGGCTAAATATACCTGATTCAATCTTGTTAAGGATTTTCCGAGCGCATTGGACAAAGGCTTCCTCAACATTTTCACCTGTCAGGGCACTTGTTTCCAAGAACATTAGCTCTAAGAAGAATGTACACACATCATTAGATTAATAACAAAATTATTATAACGGTGATAAAGCATTCCACAGAACAACTTTCACCATTTTCTTGTGCAAAGCGAGATGCCTCCAAGAATGTGACCTCTCGATCAGCATCCAAGTCCTTCTTATTTCCACAGAGTATAATAACAATATTCTGACTGGCCAGCATCCTGGCGTCACTTAACCATGTAGTCAGAGCATTGTACGTTTCTCGACTAGAAAATCAATGCATGCATATCACATACCCAATAATTAATGATTGAAGGAAAAATTTTGCCCTGTGTGACAGATTTACCTGGTTATATCATAAACTAACAAGGCTCCTGCTGCCCCTCTGTAGTAACTCCTGGTAACTGACCTGAAGGTGAGAACATTAATGCCTTTATTAAATAGGTATTCATAGTTTGTTTGTCATTGCAACTTAATTTACTCACATTTACACTATTCAGTTGTGTTCATATAAGGAACTTGATTACTTTTTTATGCATATGACACTTACCTAAATCTTTCTTGGCCAGCAGTGTCCCATATCTGTAATTTCACCATTTTATTGACCACACTGATGATCTTTGAGCCAAATTCTACCCCAATGGTGTGATTAGACTCATCTTTAACTGTAAACAACACATTATATATTTAATCTAAACAATACGATACGCAATAATAAATAAGTGAATACTGTAATATTGATATAACAACGTACATCTTTTCTCTATAAACTGGTGCAACAAACACGATTTGCCAGTGCCAGCATTGCCGATGACCAGAAATTTAAAGAGGAAATCTGAAAGAATGGAACAGTTAAGTATTTCTAACACAACAAAGGGCGTAATTGTATCAAAATATTTGAAATAAATTGTGTTGTCACCACTTTGACATGCGTAGAACAACAACAACCAGAGCACATTAGTGTATATCTTTTTGTAAGGCTTCTTATGCTGAGAGGACTTAAGGCCAGTGCCCAGGCTGATGGATAGGTTAGCGTGTATGCTATTGATCTACGTTGGGAAATAAGAACGAAGACCCCACCACACCTGCTTATTAATGCGCTATATGTCAGTCCTGGGCTTTATCAGTGCGACCTCTTACCGTATGATTCTGACATGACCACGGTACGTTTGCTGACCCGGGGAAATGGAAACCGAACGAATACAGTCGAATACAGCAACCTAAAGTAAGCAAAACAGTCTTTATAATTATTTCCGTGGATTCCAGCTGATTTCCCTAAGACTTCCGGCCTAACGCGTTTACTATTTCAAAATAAAATCAAATAAAGTAGAAATAAAATGATCTCATGAGAGCTTGACAGTTTAACTGAATTCAAAAGAGATACGCAAGAAACTGAGTCACAGTGCCACTTTTTATGAAAACCAGTTTCCGATACCATGTCGATGCCGCCACAACAATAGTGGCGACAAACAAATCTGAAGTCAGATCTGGCAACCCAGCTCTCGCGCTCCCGATGAATGCTAATGCTAGAGCTAACTAGCATCGGGATTCTTCGAGATAAGTATGGCAGCTATACTTCCCATAATAAGGCCGACTTGCGACAGCAACCCTGCCACTCCGGGAGCACAGTCAGTCAAGGTATGAAGTCCTGCACCAAGCACGTGGTTTCAGAGAGTAATCATCGCAGCATTAGTTACAAGGTCCGGGTGCGATTTGGAAGCGATGTTGTTGCCAGCGTCATTAGCACATCCCCCCTTTGTTTTAACGTTAATATTATTGCGCTTTACAAGTCTTGATCGGAAGGATAACTATATTGTTTTCATTTTTTTATATTGTTGATTTAAATTATATCCTTCTCATTAATTTGACTAAATTATTACATATCTTCTGCATTTGTCGGTTCACGAAACCAACTACAAAATCACTTATGTTTATTGTTGATCCATTTCAGGAGGATGTTCTTGAAGAAGTGTCCAATGATGGAAGCCAGCCTCTCAAAAGGAGAAGGTTGGGATCTGGAGACAGTTCTCGGAGTTGCGACACATCCATCCAAGAAATTGGGTGAGAGCGAATGTTTTTAGTCAAGCATTAAAAACACATATGGTCAGAGAGTGGACTTAGGTTTTCAACATGGGCATGGTCTCTTTTCTTTTTGGTTCCAGGGCAACTTATTTCCCTGCAGAAAATTTGACAGAGTACAAGTGGCCCCCAGATGATACTGGGGAGTACTATATGTTGCAGGAACAGGTCAGCGAGTATTTGGGAGTCACATCATTCAAGAGAAAGTATCCTGGTAAGAATATAGTTTTTTCCCCTTTTTGTGTTTTGGTGATTTTCTAAATGTCACTAATTGCATTTTCCCTCCTTTCTCAAATTAATATGAACATCTCCAAAGTACATACACTCTTTCAGTCTAACTTAGTGTGTGTGTGTATTCTTAGAAATGGAAAGAAGAGATTTATCTCACAAAGAAAAGCTGTACTTGCGTGAACAAAACGTTATCACAGAGACGCAGTGTACATTGGGTAATCTTACTACTTTTATATTTAAATGGTTTTTCCCTTATTTGGATGTTCACTATTGTAAATTCCTTCCAGGTCTAACGGCTTTGCGTAGTGATGAAGTAATTGATCTCATGATTAAAGAATATCCCACAAAACACTCAGAATACTCTGTTATACTTCAAGAAAAGGAGCGTCTTAGAATTGCAAAGGAGTACTCTGTAAGTACTATATAATTTTATAAAAGATGGGTTTCAACTTGATAATTCTAGTCTAAAATTGCAGCAAATGCAGCAGCAAAATCCTCAAAAAGTTGAGGCTGGAAAAGTACCAGAGTACATTAAGAAAGCTGCAAAAAAAGCTGCTGAGTTCAACAGTAACTTCAATCGTGAACGAATGGAAGAAAGAAGAGCTTACTTTGACCTCCAAACACATGTTAGTCTATAAATGAGAATGCATTTCAAAACTTTCAATGTTAATAACTGTTTTATTTTTTATTTTATAAAATCATAGATTATCCAAGTCCCACAGGGCAGGTTTAAAGTATTGGCTCCTGAGCTGACAAGAACCGGCCCATATCCCGTGGCCCTCATCCCAGGACAGTTCCAAGAGTTCTATAAACGGTAACCTAAAAACCCTTTTCCAGTTTTCTAGCTATACAGCTCATATTTTCAGAGTTTTAAAGGTGTTTTATTGACAGGTATTCACCCAATGAGCTGCGATACCTGCCATTAAACACTTCTTTGTTTGAGCCTCCTTTGGATCCAGACCTCCCCGCCCTAGACTCCGAGCCAGATTCAGATGATGCTGGGGATGATGGAAGGAAGCACTCATCTGTGAGTTCATATTTTAGATTTGAATGATTTATGTTGTGTCATTTGCAATAATGATGACTTTTGCTCATCCTTCCTCACAGGACAGTTCATCGGGCAACACTTCCGATGTGGAGAGCCAAGAGGGAGGTACTCCAAGGTCTAAGATCAAAGAAAAGGCACAAGGCAAAGACAGTCACCGACATTCGTCCTCCCACAGAGGAGGATACAAGGTAGAGGACAAAAACAACTGAACTTTTCTCCAACAACAGCTGCAGCACTTTTTACCCCTCTTTTTCTACCTACTACATACATAGATCATACATCTTCCTTAATTTTTCTTGCTTTCCCCCAACTCTGCTGATAGAATTTTAGCTCTGAGCAACATATGGTATTTTTTAGCTTTATTTTACTATTGTCTTTAAGACTATTCGCAATAACTTAAAAGTTAATTTTTTTATTGCACTTTCATGTTTAGGATACAAGATTTTAATTTGCCCTTTGATTGTCTATGATATACCTCTTCTGTCTTGCTTTCAAGCAATGATTTCGCTGCTAACAACCTTTGACAAAGTGGAGGGCTGGAGGCATCTTAATCTATTTGACGTAAGAAATGTTTATGCTTCACTCGATGTGCTGTTAAAAACTTGAACGGCATCGATGACAATAACTCTTTGCTCTTTGCACAGTTGCTGAGCTGAACACGCATCTAAACATTATTTGTTTAAGTTTTCATTTTTTATTCTACAACATTTAGAATTTTGGCAACTCTTCATTTGAGCAGTTAGTTCGGTTCAGTTTCGTGAGAGTGTGACTGATTACAATGACACAAAACCTCACATGTGATAAGGATTAATTCGGTTTATTTTGCACATTGGTTCTATTCACATAGAGAAACTTTATCAAAGTCTACTTCTAATAGAGTAGCACAGATCAATATTGGGTTTAAAGAACGGAATTGAAAAATACTGTTTGCAAAAATACAGATGTATTGTCTGAACTGTGTCCATGTTTGTTCTTGATGGATTTATTTGCTAAAAATATTCAATCATTGTAAACAAGTTTCTAACACCTTTTATTTTATTATTTTTTTAATCCATGGCACCAAAAAAATGTTACTGCAGCTTTGATAGTTAGTATAAACATGGTGATGGAGGACTAAAACTCTTTGCCATTATCTACATTGGCATATAATGATTAGGGTATCACTGCAAATGCTGAGATTGAAGTACGTATATTTTCTCATCTCAATATTTAGTGATATTTTTTTATTGATTTCATTTTGGCAGTTTTAATCTTCCATACATGGTGTCACATCCATTTCTATTGTATTTTACATAACAGCATAGTTGCTGTTATGGCAAAAGAGGCAGATTAAACCTGTTTTCTATATATAAATATAAAAAAATACATTGTATAAAGATATTATATTGTATTTATATTTTATGGGTTGATTGTGATAACCGTAATCCTGTACACTTTTTTTGCGCATATTAACTATTGAAATGTGCATACGTAATTCTGTGAACTTCCGTCTCCTTTCTTTCCTTTTCTGCTGTTTTGTATTTTCCCTTCTTTGTCTTGTCTCAACTTGTTCTTCACCCTCGTCTCGAGCTGCTCATGACTTCTGAACATTGTCTTGTGTTTTGTTTCCTTTCCTGCTGAGAACAAATTGAGATGGGCAAATCTGTCTGGTAAAATCTTGATACAAATGATAAGGTATCACAAACAGAATGCAACATTTTACTTTGTTCTTACAAATGACGTACCATTATTTTAAATCTAGTTTCTCCTCAAATGTGTTTTTACATTTTAAATAATAAAAATGAGCAGTGATACCGAGTTATTACAGAAGTGGTTATTTTGTGAACACTACTGGCTCATTACCACGCTTGACGCAGTGTTTATTATGTTGACACAGTAAATACCAGGACAAACGACACATTTCACAATTTCTAGTATTCTCCTTGCAGCCTAAGATCATTCCCAATGCTATATGTGGCATTTGCCAGAAGGGTAAAGAAGAGAACAAGAAAGGAAAACCTGAGGCACTCATTCACTGCTCCCAGTGTGATAACAGTGGTAAGATGTGTCTCTTTATACAAAGTGGCAAAATGTGTCAACATTCATCTGTTACCGTTTTACAAAGATCTTCATCAAGAAATTTTTGGGCTTTTTCAATGCATTTTTTTTTTTTTTTTTTTTGCATCTTTATCTGCATGCTTGATGTGTTTTCAGGTCACCCCTCGTGCTTGGACATGACGCAGGAGTTGGTGAAAGTAATTCAGACATACCGTTGGCAGTGCATGGAGTGTAAGACGTGCTCCGTATGCCAACAGCCCCATCATGAGGACGAAATGATGTTCTGTGACCAATGTGATCGAGGATACCATACCTTCTGTGTGGGAATGAACTCCATACCAACTGGTTAGTTCATATGAGTACTGACGCAATTATCCTTTTGCTCTTATTAACTTCAATTCTTTTATCTGTTTCTTTTAGGTCTGTGGCTTTGTGAGGTTTGTGACAAAGATTTCACTACACCTAAAAAGAAAGGTGGAGCCAGAACACCAAAAAAGTCTAAATCAGCTCAAAAGTGACCAGGGTTTCAAAATGTTGTGAACTACATGATTCCATATAGACTCCATCAGGGATTAAAACATGCACTGGTTTATGTTTTGTTTTTACTGTGGACAACCACGCTATTTAAATTGCTATTTAAAACATACCACACATGATTAGGCAATTCTATTAGGTTAATTCAGGAAAATGCCATATTATGTTGAAGTGGAACATAATGTATGTACTGGACACGTTATGACGTTTAAGGTCATAATGTAAGCTATGAACAACGTGTTGTTTTGATGAAATCACCAATGTTAATGAGAGCTTCCAGGATAAAAAACATCTCAATGACTTAAATTCATAATTTTGGTTTACTATTTAGTAATTGTTTGTTTAATTAAACTGTTTGTCCATGTAATTTCTCTTGTCTCCATACATTTTTGTTTCAATTCAAACTTTTGTTTAATGTTATCCTTTTGATTTGTTTATCTGTATATTTGATCGGTAGCCTATTTATGATCCCTGTCGGCGTTTATGGTTATTGCCTGTCCATGCACATAGGCGGCGCTACAGTCCCTTCTCACTTCTGATTTGTTAAAAGAAGTGGTTGCAGTGATACAGCGAGTTTGAGGTCTGAGCGAGCTTGAAGGTTTGAAACATTTTTCAAAATGCTTTCGTGTCCTTCTTTTGGGGATACGGGTAAAATGAAGGAGTATCATTACACGGGTCCCGTGGAACACAGGTTTTCTCCTTACGCCTTTAATGGAGGGTAAGTAAGTCTTATTTACTGACCGTGTAGCTGGTAAGCTAAGTGGCTAACAATGTCGTTTGCACTTTCTGTTTTCTTATACAACTGGATTTATATTTACATATGGGTTGATCTATTCAGTATTAATACATTATATTTCTGTGTAGCCACATGAAACTGAGTATGTGTTGTATCTTGGGGTTTCGGTTTCGATTGAACTTTGTTTGTGCCAGGACTGTTTTGGCTGTGGCTGGAGAAGACTTCGCCATCGTAGCCTCAGACACTCGACTGAGTGAGGGTTACTCCATCCATTGTCGCGACTCTCCAAAGTGCTACAGATTGTAAGTACAAAGGGTCTTCAACAAAGCCTTATATCACTTGTACACGTAACTTTAAGGTTCTCATTTACATATTGGTTGTGTCTTTGTTACAGGACAGACACGACTGTCATTGGCTGTAGTGGTTTCCACGGTGACTGCCTGACTCTCACTAAAATCATTGATGCCAGACTAAAGGTTTGTTATTGTATCTAAATGTTCTCATGATGCAGCCTCGTCATATCACACTGCAGAAATTGTATGTAACTGACCTGTTATTCTAATTTTATATTTATAGATGTACAAGCACTCAAACAATAAGATGATGACAAGTGGAGCCATTGCAGCCATGCTGTCTACAATCTTGTACGGCAGGCGCTTTTTCCCCTACTATGTATACAACATCATTGGCGGACTGGATGAAGAGGGTATGAGCATTGGCATATCAACATGTCATACAGAATTATTATTTATTCCAATTGTGGATGATAATACACCACATTTTAAAATTAAATTTCAAATAATTGTAGTCCTGCCACACAAATGGAAAAGGGCAGAAAGAAGGCAATCTTTTGTTGCCTGCCCACAATCCCCAGCCATACACAGAATGTTGCTGTATTTCTTTAGGAGGACAGTGAATACATAGGTTGTGTTCTTGTTGATTATGCAGGGAAAGGTGCTGTATACAGTTTTGACCCAGTGGGATCTTACCAGAGAGACACCTACAAGGCTGGTGGATCAGCCAGTGCCATGTTACAACCACTTCTTGATAACCAGGTACTCTGTCAACTTGCAGTTTCTAATATTTCTTTTCCTGGTTTATGTTCTAACCACAAATGCATTTTGCAGATTGGTTTCAAGAATATGGAGGGTGTCCAGCATGTTCCCCTGACAAAGGAGAAGGCCGTTCAATTGGTCAAAGATGTGTTTATCTCTGCGGCAGAGAGAGATGTGTACACTGGAGATGCACTTAGGATCTGTCTAATCACAAAAGAGGGTGTAGATGAGCAGACAATTCCGTTGAGGAAAGATTGAGCCCTATTCCATTTTTGGTTAATTTCTGTCTTTCAGATTTGGTTTAGGCTCAGTGATAAGGTTCTTTTACTGGTATTAAAAAGATTTTGCCTGCATTTGGATTCCATAAGCCTGTTTCATAAAACTAAACACAATTTATTTCTATGTTTTCATATTTGTAATAAATTACATTGACGAATCATCCATTCATTCATTCATTCAGCTATAACAGCTGGTAAGATGAATACATTGCATCACATGCTAACTGCAAAAAAAAAATCCATAAGGGCGTTAAATCTAATGACAAAAGCTTGTGGCATTAGTTAATTTACTTAAAGTAAATATGGTTTGTTAAAGTAAAATGCAATTGTGTTATGGATCATGATTGAGCATCAATGACATCCTTTTGCTGTTCTATACTTGTACTAAGTAAAACATGGTGCAATCCGTTCTTTTGTTCTTAGGCAAGACATTTCCCTTTGAAGTGTTTTACCCAAGTACACAAGGACAGCGTCATAAGGAGCTACAAACATGTCTACATTGGACAAACTTTTTCAGTTGTAGTTTGGAAAGGACTTGGTTTAGTAGTATGGAGTCAGTAAATTATATTTTAGTGGAAATAGACCTGAGTGTAGCAACATTCACTTGTCCGGTGTGTGCACTCCATGTGCATGATCCACTCTATCAGACAATTCATCATTGTCTTAAGACTAAGCTAATTTCACAGCTGTAACCATTATTTTGTTTTGGGTAATGAGAAGTGCATGTATTTAAGTAGAAACACAAGAATACAAACAATGAATTTGACAAGTAAATCAGAAATTGCTCAACATTCTTTTATTTAAACTGAAAAGAAGCAGAAACAAGTGCTAAACTCAAGCGTAGTACTGCAGGTTTGCCTTCTTCTTGGCCTGGACCTCCAGGATTCCCTCCATGTAATCTTCATGATTGAGCTCAGTTGCACCACGGCGAAGTGCAATCATTCCAGCCTCGACACACACTGCTTTGCACTGGGCTCCATTGAAATCATCTGTGCAGCGGGCAAGCTCCTCGTAGTTCACATCTGGACTGACATTCATCTTGCGGGAATGGATCTGCATGATGCGAGCTCTTGCCTCTTCGTTAGGCATAGGGAACTCAATCTTTCTGTCAAGACGTCCCGAACGCAACAGAGCTGGGTCCAAAATATCAACTCTGTTGGTGGCAGCGATAACCTAGAAAAATAGTGGTTGTCAGTACGATTTAAGAAAACATTTGATGGCAATAAGGACTTCTGTTTGAGAGTGCATTCCAGAGGCTCTTACCTTGACCTGCATGTTTGGCTGAAAACCATCTAGTTGGTTCAGCAACTCCAGCATGGTCCTCTGAACTTCTCGATCTCCTGCCTTTTCACTGTCAAATCGTTTAGTGCCTATCGCATCCAGCTCGTCTATGAAGATGATGGATGGGGCCTTCTCCTTTGCCAGAGCAAATGCATCTCTCACAAGTTTGGCACCATCTCCAATGAACATCTGAACAAGCTGTGGACCTGCCAGCTTCAGGAAGGTGGCCTTGGTCTGTGCAGCACAAGCCCTGGCCAGGAGGGTCTTCCCTGTTCCAGGAGGTCCATACATCAGAACTCCTTTAGGGGGTTGAATTCCCAGGTTTTCAAACTTTTCTTTGTGGTTCATAGGCAGGACAATGGCCTCCACTAGCTCCTGTATCTGCTTGTCCAGACCTCCTATGTCACTGTACTGCTCAGTAGGGCGCTCATCCACCTCCATAGCCTTTACTCTGGAGTCGTACTCGGTGGGTAAGGTTTCCAGGATCAAATAGGAGTCTTTGTTGACTCCTACCAGATCCCCGGGCTTGAGCTTCTCTGCATCTACCAACCCGATGACCGGTAGGAAGTAGGTTTGGCGAGTGGATGTTTTAATGACGGCGCACTTCCCTTTTCTCTGGGAGTCCAGGTCCACATTGGCCCCATCTTCCTCTTGATCGTTGGGGTCCACATCCAGAAGCTCGATGACGTTGGAAACCAGGTATGGTAGTGTTTTGTTCACCTTAATCTTCTCCGTGTTTTCCTTGATCTTATCTTTCATCGCCTGAAGTTCGTGAGTAACTCTCAACACTTCGCTCTTCATGATCTTTATCTCACTGTCGAGCAGACGAGTGCGCTGAACGATCTCTTCTGTAGACATTTTTAACACTTCTTCCCCGATTCCATCCTCCACCTCGTCCCAAACTGATTTGTCACTCAGCGCCATCTTTGCTCTGTGTGTGTGACCCGTGACTCAGGCGGAAATAAAGCTGTGCCCCGGAAGTTCTACCGCTCATGAGTTCCAGGCTCCAAGAAGGACTGCACCAAACCAAACTTACGGTCCACATAAAGCGTCTGCTCCCAGTAAGTAGTCAATTTAAAGCACCATGCATCTTTCCATATTTTTTCGAAATCTCTGTTTTTCTTTGCCGACAATTTCTTATGAGGTCATCATGGACTGTAAGGTTATGCGCTGAACTAGCCGAAACATTAGCTCAGCTGCTAATTTTGGCTATCGTTGATTTGCATCGTCAAATTCCTACTACTGCAGCAGTTTAATGCCCTAAGTCAGCATTTAGAGATTATTCTGTTTTTAAAAGCTATAATTTGTTTCATGATTGTTTCTTGTTATACCGTGTTACAGGAACTGGCCAGTTACCATCTCAAACTACTTGGTACAGGCCCAGCAGTTGTGAAGTGGGACTGGAAGTGTTTTTATTTTTAGCGGGCTTGAGAAAATCTGCACAGGTGACTGGTAGTGGGGGCACCTGAAAAGAATGGACCAGAACAACAGCATCACGCCCTTTCAGGGACTGGCATCCCCGGTATTAAAATCTGACTACATATTATTTATATCTCAGGTTGTGTGTATTTATATTTGTTTGGGTTCTCTCTGCAGAATGCTATGACCCCAGTTATGCCGATGTTCAGTCCGATGATGCCTTATGGTTCAGGGTTGACTCCACAGCCTGTACAAAACACAAACAGCTTGTCCATTCTGGAGGAGCAACAGCGGCAGCAGCAGCAGCAGCAGCAACAGGCACAACAGGCTAATGCAGGTACAATTTACAAATTATTACCAAGAGACATACCGTCATGACAAGTAGTGTTCTTAATTAGATAAACTATTCATTTTCAGGGTTGCCCGGAACATCAAGTATAACTCCCCAGCTATTCCATTCCCAAGCTGTCACAGGAACAACCACCACAGCACTCCCAGGAAACACTCCCCTCTACAACACCCCACTGACACCCATGACCCCAATCACCCCAGCCACTCCAGCTTCAGAGAGCTCTGGAATACTGCCACAGCTACAGTATGTCTTCTTGCACCTCTCTTTTTGTGTTTGAGATACAAATGATCCATGGTGCTCGGGCTGTAAGAATAGATCATGCGTATTTGTGCAAGTTGCTCAATAATCAAACTCCTGTAATCAACTTTTTAAATTGTTAACTGCTCTAGACAGACTTCAAACATGTGAGAGGCGCGAATTCTAGGACTCAAACATCGGCGTATCTGCGCGCAAATGAACCTGTATGTGTACCGGTAACTCAATTTGAGATGATTATTATTTTCTGGAAAGAAAAAAACATTAGGATATACATCAGCAGATTTATTTGAGCTCTAATAGAATAAAATCATATTGGTGTTGTGTACGAGTAATCGATTTTATTTGAAAGAATTGACCGCTACATTAATTGAAATATCAAATAGTTGGGTAAAGCCCTATGTGGTGATGTTTGTGTTGTATACTTAACATGTGTTTGTCTGTCAGAAATATTGTATCTACTGTCAATTTGGGTTGTAAACTGGATTTGAAGACTATAGCCCTTCGAGCCAGGAATGCAGAATACAACCCCAAAGTAAGCCATGAAGTGGTATATTTGAATGTATAGCATAAAAGTTATTTTTAATTATATTCTGTTTTCTAGCGTTTTGCTGCTGTCATTATGAGAATAAGAGAACCAAGGACCACTGCTCTTATTTTTAGCTCTGGGAAGATGGTCTGTACTGGTGCAAAAAGGTAAGATGGGAGTTAAAATTATATTTGCACACATTAGCAATAACCGACCCTAATGTCCACCTTTTTGTGGTTTTGTCTTAGTGAAGAGCAGTCTAGATTAGCTGCTCGTAAATACGCTCGTGTTGTTCAGAAACTGGGATTCCCTGCGAAATTTCTTGATTTTAAAATACAAAACATGGTTGGTAGCTGTGATGTTAGATTTCCCATTCGACTTGAAGGACTGGTTCTTACTCACCAACAGTTTAGCAGGTAAATAATCTCTCCATTTTTGTAAATTCTCAATTTCCCTAAATCCTATTTAGCCTAGTTACTAATTTTGTCTCTTTGCAGTTATGAACCTGAGCTCTTCCCTGGACTAATTTATAGAATGATCAAACCCAGAATTGTCCTCCTGATTTTTGTTTCTGGGAAAGTCGTCCTGACTGGTAGAGACAAATTCTTTGACAAACTTATTAAATTTAGTTTTGTTCTCGTTTTTAATTGTTTTTTGTGTTACAGGTGCAAAAGTGAGAGCAGAAATATATGAAGCGTTTGAGAATATTTATCCAATTCTCAAAGGCTTCCGGAAGACGACATAGTACTTATCTGATCCATGAAGTGAAAAATGTTTTTATTTTTCTATCCTAGGGGTATGTGTTAACTTACCTCCATGGACTGCTGTTGGGCTGCAGAGGTTATTTTATCATTTGTACAAAGAATCTCACCTCAGCCCCAATTATGTACATAATACTGTAAAAAAAAAAATGTATACTATTAGTTGTTAGAAAAGTCTACCATGGGCTGTTTTTTTTTGTTTTTTTTAATTGTAAACATGTTCTTTTTCATACATTGTATTTTAACAATTCTTTTATTGGTTAAAAGGGTAGTTTTTATTTGAGAATATGGAAGTGGTATGTTCAAGTAATGTTCGGATGCTTGTTATTGAAGAAATACACTTGGATTAATTTATAAACCATTGGATACAAAATGAAAAACCACTTAAAGTCTTCTACTGTTAGTCTTTAGAATTTCTGAACTACATTTCAAAATCTGGCACTTCAATTTCAGAAAATGCTACTTTGTACCATTTATCGCACTAAAATACCATTTTAACCATGATTGTCTTGTGATTTTTTTATTTTTCCCTTCTGAGGATATTCAAAGTTGAGTGACTAGTAGTAATAAGGTTAAAAAAATGTGACTGAGAACTTTTGGATCATTTGAACTTTATATACATTCAGAACATTAAGAGTTGATACCGAAAATAAACGGTGGTTGGCTGTGCCAATGCTAATGTACTCGTAAGCATTTGGGACCTTTTTTTTTTTTTTTGTTGAAAAAAATTGTCCCTGACATTTTGCCAGCAACTAAGACATGATGCCTTTATCTCAGATAAGTGGCTGAGTGGATAGCACTCTCGCCTCTCAGCAAGAAGGTCCTGGGTTCGAATCCTGGTTGGACCAGAGCCTTTCTGAGTGGAGTTTGCATGTTCTCCCTGTGTCTGCGTAGGTTTCCCCTACCACTAAAAATATGTACAATAGGTCTGGCATGTGCCTCCTGTACTGGCGACCCCCACTCCCAAAAATACCAATTGTAAACTGCTTTGAGACTCCGATGTGCAGTGAAAAGGCGGTATATAAAAAGATTACTTACTACTAAATTATTTTCATTGAAGCTGATACAATGATGCAGCATGCATTTGAAAACTGACAATCAAACTTGTTTTTTACATAATTTTCTGGTTTTCCAAGTTACTCTACCTTTTATTGAATTAGTAGTATATAAATTGTAGTTCCCCTTTGGAGGCAGATCTGTGGATGTAAACTCCTTTTGCATAACATCATCGAAATAAAAGCTTGCTTCCATTAGTACCAATTATCAAATTAACTCTTGTACTGTAAGTAATATTAAATGTATGAACAATATTTTATGATCCTATGTAATTATATACTAGATACATGATAAAGAAAATTCTAAATATGAATAATACATGGTGCTGATGTTAAGTATTCACAACCTTTACTAGACGTATAAGGTATTAAGGAAACAACACATACACTGTATAAATCAAGTGCATTTTATTGTGAATGTCACTGTTGCGTAACTAAATATAACACTAAGCTAGTCTGTAGCAACCACATAATTTAAGATAAATTAACCAGGGGCTGGGAGTTTAAAAGTCTTAGCTTCTTCCCACTCCTTTTCAAGCTGGATTTTTGTTAATAAAACAAAACATAATGTATAATTGTATATTATCATGCATTTGTTCCTTGTTCTTGTTTGCCATGGCTCAAATTAAAGCATTCATAGTTTAACACATTTAGTACAGTCAGAAGGGTTGTTGAAAAAAGTATATTCCTTATATTTATAGTAAAATAACCATAGCTAAGCTCTGACATGAAGCTTAACACAAACATCTTTAATTCCCAACAGTATTTTTACACAGGCATATATACTGCTGTTTATATAACATTGAGCTCAGCTCAGTCTAAAGGCGCGTTCAGACCGGACTTAACTTCGACTTCAAAAGCGTCAGCTTTGCATTGAAAGTGAATGGTGAAGAGCGTCAGGTGAAGCCGAGAGCCCCAGCGTCACTTGGCGCGCGTCAAAAGCTTCAAGAGTCGCGAGTATTAAGCTTGCTGTATGAGATTTACTCAATGTATAACACTACCTCAACTACTAGTAAATACAATTATAAATAATTAGAAAATGTGTTGCTCATAAATTGTACCAAACTTTAGGATGAATTCTCAATCTCCCATTTGGTCTATGTACATTTTACAACCATTCTACTTCTTGTAGATTGAACCCCATAAACTTTCCATTTCACAAATAGCAACTTTACAGGTGTGAGATTTCATAACACTTTTAAGCAACTTTTGTTAAGGTTAAACTCATCATTCTATCAATGTGCAGAAGCCTGTACTTTTCCACTTCATGTTTTGACTATCTCTGCTGGCACCGTGGAAGCTGCTGATTGGAGGTCTCCATGCCTCCGCTCTGTATAATACACTTGCATTCTGTGTGTTTTGTTCGTGCTGTCTCTACCATCGACAATAAAACATGTCTTCTGTCTGAATTTAAGACGCGATCCCAGACTATGCCATCTTCTTCACAGGTTTAACCAAAATTATGTCTACAAGTGTACTTTAAACAACTGAGGGAATGAAAACATAAAACATATGCACAACTTATAGACAGATTTAATATGTAGCCATTTTAAAAGATGTATATTTCAAATAACAAGAATGCGCTATTGCAATGCAATGCCTGTAAAAGTCATATGTCTTTAACAAATGAATATACATTGACCCACATCTCTTATTGAACGTTTTTTTAGTCTTTGTTACACAGATCAGCTGTAAAGTCCTGCTTCCACACAAATTCTGAGTAATAATGTTCCTCACGACTGCAGCTGAGAGAACATGTGAACACTGCAACTGTTCCCCAGTCGATGCTGGCTCCTGTAGAATCGACACACAGGCTGTTTAACAGCTGGGGCATCACCTATAAAATAATAATGATGTGTTTTTTATAGGGCTTTTTTGGATACTCAAAGATACTTCACATGAAATTATTCATTCACTCTGTATGGAGTGGTGAGAGACTACTATTGTAGTAAGAAACACCACTAATCTGTTTGGTTTAGTGGCCTGAGATTGGGCAGGATCAGGATATCACATGTGTATCCATCGTGAGATGAATGTCTCACCTGGAATTCAAAGATGCGTTTGGAGCCACAGGAGCAGGCTGGGATGTCCTCTTCTGTAGGAATGGATTTGGCAGACACCCAAAGTGGAGCCCCCCCTCGGTTGTAGCGCACCACCTGAAACATTGGAGGAGGAATTGCCAATATTCTGGTCAATTCTGCTTATTTCTCACAATGTCCCTATACCTGTTCTGGCTCTGGAGCAATCCTCTCTTTAAATCGCTGGAAAACCTTCATTTCTTCAGACTCATGCAGAGCCATTTCATCCAACTCAGCTTCTGCAAAGGCTGAAAATAAAAAAGTACTATACAGAGTCTTTAGATGAGAGTCTTTTACATTAGTACTTACAATCTTCTAAAGTCTCCTCTTCATTGCTTTGAAGCTCATTGGCTTTTGTTTCTAAATCTTTCGCGTTTTTTTCTAGATCTTCAGGTTCAGTGACGAGTTCAAACTCAGGGAAAACAAAAAGAGATCTCCTGACACTTGATTCTGTGAAAATAAAAACAAATGTTAATCTTGTCCAAATTGAATCCTACTCAGTGGTGTAGTCACCTTGGCTGCCACACTCTCTCTTGTGCGAGTGTTTCCAGTGAATGGTCTGATGATGTTTCCCACAGTAGGTGATGGAGTGACAACGAGAGCAGGCTTTATTTCCCGGACAACCGCAAATCCAACACAGTTTAAGTCCAGACAGCGGTAGCACATTGTGGCCTTCGAATTGTTCAGAGGGGGGCTTATCCTCTGAAATGTGAGAATAAAATACATAATTCAATGTGTTTTACTTAAAAGAATGTGTGCCATTTTTATGACCTTAGGCACAAATGACCAAATCATAATCATAAAAACCTGGTGGAGGATTATAGGAATAGAACTCATTCTTCCGAGGCATTTGGCTTCTGAAAACTGAAACAGAAAATATAATAATTATAATTTAATATTATAATTAATATATCATAATTATTAAATTATAATTTAATATTATAATTAATATAATTATTATATTAAAATATATAATTTTATATGAACATCATCTCTGGAGCACATTTCTAGAGACATAAAACCCCTAAAGCAGACCTTTCATACACCGGCTATCAGTACTGGAGTAGCACTCAGGAGTTTTGCAGCAAAACAAGAAGAGCGTTCTGTGAAAACACTTCTCCTGTCCTGATATAGGTGCATAAACCTAGAAAACAATGGAAGAGTTGTTAGGGTAGAAAAACAATACTGATATAACAAGATTGCATGACCATAGCCTCCATAAGTCAGCGTTGCAACAAATTGAATTTGCAAAGCTCCAATAAGCTTATTCCGCAGTAATTACTCTGTGAAATCAGTGTGTGTCAAATCTGTAACGACAGCACTTCATTGTGGTGCGATAGATGTCAATCAGGACATTGAGAGAATCTTGGAGGTCCAGACCATTAATATTTACTGTCTATGGCCATGACGTAATAATTAATTGTATTATTGGCTTTCATCAACGTGATATAAAATGTGGAATTATACTGGAGGACAAAGACAAGGAAAGTTTTATTAGGCTGGGTTTTTTAATACACAAATGCAAATTTAATATTTTAAAGCCAAAGACCGTGTTTTTTGTATTTCTGAAATAACTTTAAGGGACTCGTTGAAGTTTTGTAAATCAAAGAAGGCTCTTTGGGTTAATGAAAACATCATGAATCTACCACTGACCTAGCCTGGCCTTAGCCATCCGTACACTCCGCTCAATAATTATTTCACTGCAATTTGTACTATGGTGTGGTACAACCAGGCTACCACTGACCTCGCTGTGGCACCAATTTGGATTTCTCTGTTCTTGTTTACCTTTTTGTCTGTTTGATTATTTCGCATTGATAAATACGTCTGAAATCGTACTGACCTGTTTGAAAGCCTGCCTGACTTATATTAAATAATAGAAAATAAAAAAGAACTATTATGCAACAAACCAAAGTGCATCTCGCATTATTGGGCCACAGTCACTCACCTGTAGCAAAAATGCCATAGGCAGATGACATATCTCGCACTCCAACTGTGGCAGAGTCGGCAAACCTTTCTGACAGAGCCATGCGGGCTTACCTCCTATTTTACTAGGGAACTGAGAGGAAAGTAGTCGCCACGGCTCCACTTCCTCCACAAAACCAAGAATTACCTCTGCCGCTGACATACTGTCACACATTACAGTTAGGAAAACTGATCAACACTATTTAGCTGAAAACAGCATGTGCAAGCAGTACATCAAAATAAATATGTCCGTCTAGAAACACGAACAGTACATACTTGTTCCGCCTATATTGCGAAATTGCATGTTGCAGTTCAGTTTCAATATTTTTCAACGCCAGAGAGCGCCATAAGGCTGTATGCTACCCCATGAAGTTCGGTAAAGTCAGCTTGATATTCACAGATTCGGACTTCCGCCATGAATATCTCACGAAAGCAACGTTGTTAAACGAAAGTAATGGTGCCAAAATGATCACCTCTACTTAGGCTAACTACTACAACATCGATTTTTCAAATCCAATGCGCTGTTTTAATGCGGAGAAATCCATTCAATCCAAGTGCCGAGAAAAGCGCATAGGGAGCGTCAACAAGTATCAATACCAGCTTTGTAAACGAACAATAGCTGTTACTTGAAGCCATGTACACGCACAGAACTCTAGGACACAATAAATAACTAACACTTCTAACTTGTACAACCTTTGTTTTCAGCATTTGTCTCTTTTTTAATACTTTTTATGATTAAATATGATGAAATATGAATATAAATCTTGAATAACTTTTTTTCAAAAAGGGGCGTGGTCACCAAATTCTCAGGTATGATCAATAACTGCCATATCTAACTACTACAACTTTTGTTTTCAGCAGAAATATCTTTTTTATATTTTGGCAGTTTTTGATCATACCTGAGAATTTGGTGACCACGCCCCTTTTTGAAAAAAAGTTATTCAAAATTCATATTCATATTTAATCATAAAAAAGAGAAAAATACAAAAAACAAAGGTTGTAGTAGTTAGATATGGCAGTTATTGATGATACCTGAGAATTTGGTGACCACGCCCCTTTTTGAAAAAAAGTTATTCAAAATTCATATTCATATTTAATCACAAAAAATATAAAAAAGATATTTCTGCTGAAAACAAAAGTTGTAGTAGTTAGATATGGCAGTTATTGATCATACCTGAGAATTTGGTGACCACGCCCCTTTTTGAAAAAAAGTTATTCAAAATTCATATTCATATTTAATCATAAAAAAGAGAAAAATACAAAAAACAAAGGTTGTAGTAGTTAGATATGGCAGTTATTGATCATACCTGAGAATTTGGTGACCACGCCCCTTTTTGAAAAAAAGTTATTCAAAATTCATATTCATATTTAATCATAAAAAAGAGAAAAAAGAGAAAAATACAAAAAACAAAGGTTTTAGTAGTTAGATATGGCAGTTATTGATGATACCTGAGAATTTGGTGACCACGCCCCTTTTTGAAAAAAAGTTATTCAAAATTCATATTCATATTAAATCCTATTTATTCATAAAAAATACAAAAAAGAAACAAATGCTGAAAACAAAGGTTGTAGTAGTTAGATATGGTAGCTATTTATAGTATTTGAGAGTTTAGTGCGTGTACTTGGCTTAAAATAAAAACTATTGTTCGTTTACACAGCTGGTATTGGCATTTGTTGACGCTCCCTAAGTGCTTTTCTCGGCACTTGCGGCGCATTGGATTCAATGGATTTCTCTGCATTAAAACAGCGCATTGGATTAGGAAAATCGATGTTGTAGTAGTTAGCCCTTGTAGAGGTGATCATTTTGGCACAATTACTTTCGTTTAACAACGTAGCTTTCGTAAGATATTCACCGCGGAAGTCCGAATCTGTCTACCCCAGTAAGCCACCTCCTTAGATATTTAGCTAGTTTGAGAGTGGGCATGTATCTTCTACTGCACTAATCGGTGTAAAAACATATTTACAGTATGGCTCAAACAAAAACTTCAAATCGTAATACGTAGCCCCAACTTTGAGGTACAGAATTATTCTACCTATGGACCGCATCATGTTATGTTAATGATGATGATAATAATAATAATAATAATAATAACAACATTACAACATTTTTTGCCTTCTACCAGTGGTTCAAAAATGTATGCCTTTTTATGTGTGATAATATTTACTTTCTCCACCACAGGTTTAAATATAATGTTTAATTGAACCCCGAGTTCCTCCTCCTCCTCAGTGTGATCTCATTTAGGGGAGTTTCAGCGTCAACTCAGTGGGCCATGGAGCAGTGGTGAAGTTACTAACTTTCCGGGTCAGACAAATGCTCACACTCAACTCTTGTCCTTGAAATGAAAACTTTGGATGTATGAAAAGCGAAAGAAGGCAACACTGGGAATGGTGGATTTAAGAGAGGACTCCCATCCGATTTGATGACACCGTCCTCGCCAGACCAGATGTCTCCAGTGGACGATGGAGGCTCCAGGACTGCCCCACCTGTCCCGCCGAGAAGGCATCGTGAGAGGCGGGTGAAGTGTGTGCTGGTCGGGGATGGGTCGGTGGGGAAGACCAGCCTCGTGGTCAGCTACACCACCAACGGTTATCCCACAGAGTACATCCCAACCGCCTTCGACAACTTCTCAGGTCCCTGTCGGTTATAACTGCCACTTTAACTTCACTTGGACAACTCTTTTCACTGCACATTCAAAACCCATTCACTAAAACGTTGCTAAGATGGATGTATATAAGATATGACTTTAATTTAGCCTGAATTTAACTTTTTTCTTTTCTTTTTTAAGTTTGGAAAACCTTTTTGTTATTTCCTTCCTGGTTGGACATGGGCTATATGGGTGGTGTTATTTATCATAGCAACCACAAAGTTGATGATTGCCAAAACTCGTCTAATTGAATATTGTAATGAATAGACTATTAGCTACATATTTGAGACAACATCTTTATTTAATTAATGTAATGTTTAATGTTGTATTTATTGATCAAACAAGTATTTTATTGATTATCTTTGCAACTAGTTAACATCTCATATCATATCAAATATTGTGCCCAGAAAAAATGTAATATGTACTATTTTTCCAAAAGCATTTTAAAATGTTTATTACACTATAATGCCTCTGTTGTTTTAAAACAAATACGTTATTTTGCTAAATGTGTCTTGACTGACCTAACAAGACATACACACTAATCTTGTTTTGAGACTAGCAATTTCCCAATGGCAAATCTTTCAAAATCAAAATAATCTCAAATCACGGTGGCTGAGTGGATAGCACTCTCGCCTCTCAGCAAGAAGGTCCTGGGTTTGAATCCCGGTCGGACCAGGGCCTTCCTGAGTGGAGTTTGCATGTTCTCCCCGTGTCTGCGTAGGTTTCCTCCGGGTACTCCGGTTTCCTCCGGGTACTCCGGTTTCCCCTACCACTAAAAATATGTACAATAGGACTGTGCATGCGCCTCCTGTTCGCCGACCCCGCTCCCATCTCTGTGTGGAGTGAGAGGACAAATGCCCAAAAAAATTATTACAATTGTAAACCGCTTTGTGACCCTTGTCTGTGAAAGGCGTTATATAAATAAACATTACTTACTTACTTATGACATTTGGCTAACAATTTCTGCAAAACAAAAACTTTTCTATCGGAATTAGTATGTTTTGATCTCCCCCACTTAAAACAATACAGTGTATGTAACGCTTGGTCAAATAAATCCCCTCAATAAATATGTAAATCCACCATACATTTCCATACAGATCACATGTTCTATCTATTTCTTCCTTTTCCCCTGATAAATTTGTATGATTATGTATCCGTCTGTTTTATGTGTCTGTAGCAATGATTTCAGTTGATGGATTTCCTGTTCGACTGCAGCTCTGTGACACTGCTGGACAGGTCAGTTCTCTTGCTTTTCCTGTTAACTCAATCCATAAATCTGATAAATGTCTGAAAAATAATCTTTTCATAAGCGAAAATAGCCTGCAGGAACTGCATTTCATAACTGTCTGGAAATGATGAGGGTTTGTGGGCTAAATATATCACAAGCATGTTGATTGTTGTCACAGGAAGAAACTTTTCAAGACAATGCCGTACACAGCAGTAATATCTTACTCTGCAACTTGACTATGTCAAAGGCCAAGTTATAGTTAAAGCTAGTACATTTCTCAGTTCCTACATCAGAGGGATTGGTGTTTGACTATTGTTATTGGTATTTTGTTTCTAGGATGAGTTTGACAAGCTGCGCCCATTGTGCTACTCCAGCGCTGATGTCTTCATGCTGTGCTTCAGTGTGGTCAGTCCTGTTTCCTTCCAAAATGTTCCGGAAAAGTGGGTCCCAGAAATACGGACTTTTGCCCCACATGTTCCTATAGTCCTGGTCGGGACGCAATGTGATCTCAGAGAAGATGTCAAGGTAAGCAAAGGAGCATAATGTGAAGATTGCGTTCTGTTCTCTGTTTCATACATAAATAAAGTAAAAGAAAAATACAGTATAATGGGCTTGTTCACACTAAAGGGCACAAAAGTGTGACAAAAGGCCAAAAATTAGATTTTAATAATCAGAAGATATTTTATGTTTTTCATGTTTCCAAGCACCTCCTCTGTCCATTAGAAGTTGCTAGAACATAACTGTTTTATACATTAGACAAGTTTCCTATAGCGGCCCTGTTTATTTTATGTAATGGACGTGATGATTTGACGGAATGAGCTTTGTGGAAGTTTGATAGGTATTTTCAGATGTCCACATTTGATTCAGAGATTCTATTTTTTTACACAAAGTAGATGCAAAGTGATACTTTCATATTGTCAAGCAATTAAATGTGAAAACGACCAGATTTTGTTTTTTCTCAAGTTTAATTTTTAGAGAAAAGAGGACCGTCCTCATCACGTCCGTTAAACATTTTTCAAGGGTCATTTAATTAATTAATTTATTTTATTTTTTTACGATTCCTTTTTATATCAAGTGATTTCCTTCTGTTGTGTTAACCATGTAAATCTTGTGGGATTTCATCTTCTGCTTTTTCAGACTGAGGACATTTTATTTACTATGTAACTGGAGTCACAGTAGAATGGTCCAATCAGAGGCTCATTTGGTCGTTTAAAATGTTGCTAAACATTTTTATGTCAATCTTTCCTTTTGATTTTTTCAGAGACAGTTTCTACACAGACAGTTTCTCTTCAAACTGTCTGTGTGAGAAATCTTTTTTCCAATCTATGAAAGTAATTTTAGTTTTTAAGTTATAACCCTTTAAAGTCCAGATACTTCAATTGTCACTTTACTGTGAACACACTCACATATAAATGGAAAAATGAATATTTACAGCAAGTATAGAAGCATATATTTAGAAGCATATATTTACAGCTAGTTAAGAAGCATAGCAGCTACTTATACTGTCCCGTATGTGTGCTGCAACATCAAAATTTCCCCGCTGTGGGACAAATAAAGGTTCTCTTATCTTATTTAGTAGTTGTGCTTCCTAGTGCTTTGTAGTTTGTAGCACTTCTATTAGAAGGGCCAGAGTAGTTGTGCAAAATCTTTGGATACTCATTGTTTTACAGACTGGAATTCAGGATTATCTATAATACAAAAAAAAAAGCGCAAACCTCCATCATGAGGCACATTTCCATTTGTTTGAAAAAAATCCTAGATCCAGACAGTGATCCGGATCACCTCCAAAAACTATTTGGAGATTTCATATTTTTAGACATTGTGATGAAAATCCACCCATGTTGCATAACCATCAAACAAGCAACCAAACCCTGATGAAAACATTACCGCCACGGTGGAGGTAATTAGGATGCGCAATGTACTTTAAAGGCTATTCAAAGACAATTATCCAATCAGAAAGCCAAATGAGCCTCCCATCATGTTGGCTGCCAATTGTTTTGATTGGTCTTTATCAAAACCTGATCGATAACATGATTCACATCCATATACTGAGAAACAATACCTTTTTTAACTGATTTTATGCAGCCTGTGGACTTTGGACAATCACAAGAGCCATTGCTCTATGTTGTAGGTCCTTATCGACCTGGCTAAATACAGAGAGCGACCGGTGGACGCAGCAGAGGCCAAAGACTGTGCAATGGAGATTGAAGCGGCGACCTACATTGAGTGCTCTTCACTGACTCAAAAAAATCTAAAAGAAGTGTTTGACACCGCCATATTAGTAAGTCTGCAGAACCGCAACTCCCACAAGTCTGTGAAAGGGAAACGAAAAAGAAATAAGAAATGCAAACAGACTCCCGACAAGATGAAGAGTTTGTCAAAGTCCTGGTGGAAAACTTACTGCTGTGTTATTTAAAGTGCATTTTTGTTCCCTAAAAACAACTTGAATACACAACACGTTTCCCAAAGTACCTAAAAGGTACCGGTTCCTATACGTGGACTGCAAGAAAAGTGTCGTCGGAATTTGGATGAGCAATTATACTTTACTGATATGTATTTTGAATCTGAAAGAGGACAAAGTGAACTATCTGTCTGATTTTTTTCATTTGGTTTCTGGTGCCTGTTCATATCTTTGTAGGGCCAGAAGTATCTACTATCCAAATGTGGCGTCTTCAACCCACAATTTAAGTTTGTGTATCAGGTTTGTGAAGTATTGAGGTAGGAGTAGAGATGATTTATTAAAAGTTGCACACTCAAAAATGGTATCGGAAACAATAGAATATAATGAGTCAACTGATTTATTTATAAATGTATTTCCAGTTGACTAGTTAGGGGTCATATCTGAGGAGAAGTGAACTAACCCAATGTAAGAATAATTCAGGTTTTTGTTCAATAAAACCATCTGTAATTATATAGATAAAAATAACGTCAACTTGGCAAGTAATAAGTAGCGGTTACTGCACCGTCAATGTAAAGTGATTAAAGATAGGATTAAGGAGGAACCAGGGAGGTAGGGTGCGAGCTTACAAATCAAACTCACAAAATGGCATTGTCAGCTCAAGGGGATGAGAAAGTAAAAAACAATGAAGCAAACTCTTGTTGATTGTGCATCAAGGGAGATGTGGCCAGTGTTCATCATTCACCGGTTTAGGTTTTAGAAAGTAAATAATCTTCCAGGACTATGGAGATTGCTGCTGGGATTCAAAGTGGAATGAATTTAACTGTTACGTACAAAGTTCCAAGATCCTCCTTGCTGATGCAGGAGGATCGAGGAACAGTGAAATCCAAGACATTTTTGAACATTTATGGACATGGGTCTTCCCACTCCCTATGGACAAATGACTCCTTTGTGTCTCTTAATATTGCATTTCCTGTTCTAATTGTTAGCTTCTCAAATCTGTTGGCAAATCAGCAACTTTGAGAAGTTCTTTGAGACAACTGCTTTTGTGAATTAGGGCTATTCATAACTTCAGAGGAAATACATGTTGGTTATTTAATTTAATTAATCTGTTCAAAAGACTTCATGCTGTTGTAACATTAGTTTGTAAGAAGTTACTGAACTGGATACCTTGAATCACACTTTCTTGAGTTGAGTTTTGAACAAGTTTTATACTCTGAAATAAATATCTCTTGTCAACTCTGCCATCATTTTATTGTCATAATAGTGACTGGTATCCAACTTTATACATGACCACAAATTAATGTTGGTTGTTCAGTCATTTTTTATAATGCAAAGTTTATTTCTATCTTAACCACCAGCTCTGTGATGCCCCCATAGACACTGTGTACAGACTGGGGTTATGCAATACTTTCATTTTGAAGACGGTCATGTGGCATTTTATTAGTGCAGACAAGGGAATAGAGGAGGAACAGACCATCACCTTATTATTGCCCGTAAACTAATTCTCATTAGCCAATCATTCAACATTCCATATCATGAGCCTAATTATTGTGACACAAATCAAACTTTGTCTGTTGATAATGTTTCTGTCCTTGTGCCTTAGTGTTACATAATGCAGGGTGTGGTGAGTTCAGCACTGACCCCTACACAGGCACAGCTGAAACAAAATCCCTTCTTTTCATTTTAAGTCATAAACTCAGAGTAAGCCGACAGCTGCGACAAGGGCCTGTGAAAGAAGGTGAAGTTGGGACAGATGAAAAATGGGCAAAGACAGAAATCAATATCTGATTTGTCTATGCCATTATTTAACATTGACAAATTAGTACTGATACATTCATGAGAAAACATACAATTCTGGTGTATTGACTTCGCCCTCATAACCTTAATGAGGGGTATAAATCTGTCTCTTCGCATGGGCTCTCCCACTGAACACATGCAGGGAGAATGTGAGAAAGGGGATGTAATTATGTGTCTCAAAGTGTCAGTATCAGCCAGAGCCGACAGTGGGAGAGGACTGCAACATTTAAGGAGCATCAGGGAGTCTCTGAGTCATGGCAGACCAGTTCACTCAAAGGTCAACCCAACCTTAAATCTGCTACGAAACTGTTTTTCTGGTAAAGGGAGATGTGTTTTGTATGTGTCAGCAGCAGCTGAAATTTGAAAGCTTTAAGTTGCATGTAATTTAGCAGTATATGTTAAGTACAGTGTATCTCAAACTGAGGTCTATGTACCTGATATGAGATCCTTAGGTGGTACACAGACACCTAAGCAATTTCATTATTCGCTGATTTTGAGTCATTTCATCCCACAATATTTTCCTTTTACAGGTATTCCAATCCAGGACCCTGGAAAGTTCTGATTTAGGCCTTGTATTGATATAGTGGAAATCAGAAAACCAGATATATTGAGATAGAGTGATAATGATTGATTGTTGGTGGTACCAATCATGGCACAGTAGGTTTGGTGGTACTATTTCAATAACCATTGCTCGAGCCAACTCTATCCCCAACAATGCCTCATATTAAATACAGATTCATCAAACCCATAGCTACCCTGGTTTTAGGCTTTATGGTGAAAAACTGTTTTCAATGAGCTTTCTGTGGTCTACATACTCACCCAAAACAGTATTTAATCCATAATTATCCACTGTAAACTTTTATTACCTCTATTCTGCAACAACTGGTTTGCAGACGCCTATATATAATTATTTTTATTGCAGGACAACAGAACCTGCCCAATGAACCTGTAGAACAAACTCGACAAACACCAATGAAAGTGTCCTCTTTGGTCGCAATGAGCAATGAAACACGTTCTTACCCTTTCTCATCAGTGACGTTCATAGCCACACAAACCCTCATGCTGTGTCCACAGGTGTGTTTGAGTATATGTTCACATACCTGAGCAGGAATGCTCAAGTACAGATCTGCTTCATATTATGCCACTTCAGGAGGAAGGCAGAAATAACTTATTATTTTTTAAAGAACTTTGTGTTCACATGACTTAGAATCATGTGAATCTACAGTGTAAAGGATCATTGTACTTTTGTTTGTGACTTTTAGTAATTTTCTTTGAATGTAGCTAGGTCCACCTGCATGTGAAATCCTGATCCCATCAGATCTCTGAAGCTAAACAGGGCACGGCCTGGTTAGCACTGTGATGGGAGACATTGGGGAACACCAGTGTGTCCCTCGGCAAGATACTTCAACCACATGAACAAATCTGATGTGTGTGTGGATGATGGTGTACCACCAGTGTACAGAGTGATGTGAAGTGTCTTTGCGTCTCCAGAAAAGTGTATTATTTAATATTTGTAATTACAAAAATCTATAAACTATCCTTTCATCTATGATCTTTCCTGTTGTGCAGGATGAGCATTTAGAAAATATCTGCATTTTTTTTTTTCAATCTACACACAATGCTCCATAATTGAAAATGAATTACTATTGTTTCCATGTTTAATACATTTGCTTTTAACTTTCATTGTGTATACAAAATGTTAATTTAATTTTGGAAATGTGCCAAAAATGTATAAAGTTGTCTTTTAATGAAAGCAAGATTGGTACATTTTAAGTGTACCAAAGAAAATCTCTAAAAGGAAGCCGGCTTTAGGGAAGCAGACAGGAAGGAGAACACAAGGGAGGTGAAGCCAGGAAGAGGCCCTGATCCATTGTCTGTTTGATAAGCAGATGCTGACGTCATCAGGAGGATGGTGTCTGTATCTGACACATCAAGAATACTGTACAGCCAGCTGTCCAGCAGGGTCACAAATTATACTAGAAAATTCCACACATTTTGTGCCATACTGTCGCTGAACAAAATGTCCATCTTGTGCTCTAGTTTGTTCTTAAAACAACCTTGAAGGAAAACTGAATTAAACTTGCTTTAATTGCCACTACCAATACCATTGTCTGACCACAGGAATGGGCCAGCTCGACAAGCTGAAACAAAAATGAAAATAATGAATGCCTACTATGCCTGTGTTAAACCAGTCATTGTATGATTGTAAGCCACCAGAAGCTCCCGCTTTTTACAATTATATAACATATTGGAAAGATCAGGAAAGTGTATGACATTGTACTATGCTTATTGGTTTGTAAGCCAATAAGTTTGTTTTTGGATGTAAAACCATCAGGAATACCATATGGAATATGAATATGGCTTACAACAGCACACTGGGGCAGCTGTGGCTATAGCAATAGCTTACTACAGATTGTTGAGCAAGTTATCAAGTGAAAAGCCAAAACAAAAAAATGTGATTATGATTCATAAACAGTATTGCAACATTAGACCAGGACATTGGAGAGACATTACATAAGTGCTGCAAAACTGCTTCAGGTTTAGAACATTTGCTGCCATCTGCAGGATTCAACAGCAAACAGAAAAACCAAATCTCGAAATTATTTTAAAAAAAATGTATTTTGTACTTACATACTGGTGTCAAATCAGTATGCACCAAATGTCACACTGAGTCACAATTTCAAAGAAAAGTGTTTTTTTCTCCAATTACAAGTATTGAAAATCTATGTACATAAAAAGGGCATGTGTCAAGAAAGATCATGAAAAACAAATGCACAGCCTCACAAAATGGTTTTACACGTATTATCTGAAGGACTAATGAATAGTTACATTGTTTTGGTGCTCTGAAAGATCTATCTACATGTAAATTAAAGTACATCCACTGGCAGCTGATCAAGAATGTGCTCAATACATTTGTCTGGTCAGAATGAAAAATATATAGAATTGACATCTGCCATTTAGAACCATTAAAATATCTGAGATTAAACATATAGACATGTTAACATTTTGAAACGTAATATCTGAAGTCATACAGTACAATTTCTGCTCTAAAAAGCTGGTGTTTGTAACCATTTGGAAAAGTACAGCTCAAAAATGACAAAACACAGGAATGAATGATGTGCTCGTGGTTTTACAGAAGCCAGCAAATGAAGACCTACTGTAAATGCTCAAAGGAAAATAGGCCGAAGAAGCTAATTTAACCTTCAGGTGCCACTTCCAATCCTCCATTTAGGAGGCTGGTGTCTCAAACACTGCAACTGAATCCATCCACAGTAGCTACCCACATTTTGGAACAGCAGCATCTTTCCAATGCCTCGTTACTGGTTTACACACCTTTTCATTTCAAATTCATAGATCTGCCAACAGGAAAAGTGGATTAAGATTCATCTACATACTTAAGTTTACGACAAGAAAAAGAAAAATGTGGCACTTGTAAAAATGCATATATTGATTGTAATATATACACACGCACAACGCATGAATGTTGAAAGGAAAAAAACAAAACCTCAAGTGGTCAGATTCTTTCCCATTACTAGACAAACTTGCACATCTGTATGAAGGCTAAAATATAATTTGAGATACTGGGGAGAAAAGGGCATTGAAGTGAAAACTCCAATTTATATTAATAATGATGCCCTACAGGCAACCATGGTCTTTGAAGTAACAATTGCGTTTTGGAAATAATATCTGGTGGGTTGGGGTGATCTGGGATCAACTGTTCTTCCTGGTGTACATTTTCTGGTCAATTTAGTCGCTCTTAGATTTTTTACTGTCATTCCCGTTCTTCTCTGGAACACAGTCTCCTGACTCCACCTGGAGCTTCCTCTTTTTAGTTTCGTCCGAGTCACTCTGCACAGGAGAGGAGTGTGGTTTGAAGGTAACTATCATGCAGGTCATGTTGTCACATCCAGTCCCATCTCCAGATGTATCAGGGGCCAAACAATGATCCAAGAGCTGCAAAAAATAAAATTACAATATCCTTTAACGTAAAACAGCTTAACGTTTGTTGTATGTTAATTTCAACATATTTACCAGGACAAAACTACTAGAGTTCATGAAATAATACAAACACATTCATGATATCAGTTATTCTATTAAATATTGTTCTATGCTTTTCTCACCTCTTCAACTATTGATGACAAAGATCTTGTTTTACCACTCTGGCCAGGTTTTATCCTTTCACTTACGAAATCAACAACTTCCTGACTACTCAACACATTCCTATGAAGACATTCAATACATTAAACATCAAATACAAATGTAAACAATATAAAAAATTTCTGTATGTGCTTACCAAATTCCATCACAGGCAATGACCATGAAGTCATGCTCCTCGTTGAGAGTCAAGACCTTTATGTCCGGCATCGCAGAGATCATCTGCTCCTCTGGAGGCAACGTCTTGTTTCTTTTGTAAAAGTGATCACCTGATGAATCAAGTTTTTTTTTTGTTAGATGTTTGGCATACATGACAAGAGTGTAAGCCTTTCCTTCATATTAACTGGATGAACCTGGATCTCACCAGCACAAGTCGGGAGACCCCAATGAAACTTACAATTATTTTAAAAATTATTATTAAAATTAAGCATGCAATGCCTTTAAAAATAAAGCCCAGAATAAATAGACTCACACTTGCGAAAACTAAATCTGTGGACAACATTGAGAAAAATAAAAACCATTTACCAATGGCTCTGGACAAGTTGAGACCCCCATTCACTCTTCCATCCATGGTTACCTTTCCCCCAGCATTTTTAATTCGAGCCAATTCCAGCTCGTCCTCTGGCTTATGGTCGTACGACATATCTATAGCTTTTCCTGTAGCAAAAGGTAGAACAATTCAAATGAGTGTTACAGACAGCAAAACAAAGAATGCACTGAACAGACAGTCATACCGTTCTCAGAAACCACACAGCGAGAGTCTCCTGCGTTAGCTACAATCAGCTGCTTTCCTCTGATGAGCGCAACGACAGCTGTGGTTCCACTGTCCGAGCCGGGCTGCAAACACACACAGGGTTTATGGTGAAAGACAGTTTTTAGTTTGCATTCGTTCAGTTAAACTACCTCCAAGTATGTATTAAGCTCTAAGCATACATATTTGAATCTTACAAAAAAACAGGCAAAGAATATTTGGTCTTATAAGCACTATTCATCAATGACCATAGTCCATGTCAAAAGGTTAAGGTGGTAAGTACCTCCTCTTTGCCATCCATGCCTGGTAAACACATCTCTTCTTCATCCTCGTCCTCAGAGTCTTCCTCTCCCTCCTCTGTATCCTCCTCCTCCTCCTCCTCTTCTGCCTCACTGCTTTCTCCATCCTCACTTCCGTCCTGAGAATAGTTTTTAAAATGTCATAACATACATGATCACGCCACACCAGACCTTTGAAAGGAGGACTCACCTCTTCATCACTGCCCTCTTCCTCCTCTCCAGATTCCTCACTATCTTCAAAAAATCTGGACTTTGCGTCACTCTTGGATGTCAAAGATGAGCATGAAGGGCCTGCGTCGCCTTCCGTCTTACCAGCTTTCTCATCGCCATTAGAGCTACCACCAGCTCCATCTAGTAAAAAAATAAAATAAAATGACAAATATGCAAAATCCAAAATATGAGGATTTTTTCAATGTTGTTTCCCCATTAATCCCAATCCATTTTGTGGTCTACCTAAAGAAAACCAAATGTACCAAATGAGTACTGAGCATATCCATTACAACGAATAAGCTTTAAATTACTAGCATTATTTGCATCTGTCCCAAGTGGTTGACAATAAAATATTTTCAATAAAGACTATATTTAAGGGTCAAACATAGATTAAATTAAATGCTTGTGTTAATTTAGTCTCCTACCTGAATCACTTCCTGCACTTGCTACTCTTCGACAGGCTCGTACTTTAGACCCACATGCCTTTCCACAGCCTTCAGCGCTTTTCACACCGCTTTCCTTCTCTTCCACTTCTCCATTAACACCTTCCTTCTCCTCACAGTCACCTGCTTCGTCTACAGAGGAAGCAGCAGCACTTGCTTTTTTAGCTTCAGCACTGCAACATGAAAAAAACAAAAAACAAGATTAAATCAGTAATAATTGTAACTTTACAAACATCAAGAGGACGTACATTTTAAATAATCAACATGAAAAAGAACTACCTAACAGCATGTTTAACAGCATTGCGGTTCTGTCCGTATCGCACAAGTAAATCCTCAATGGTCATGGTGGCCTCCTCATGGAGTAGAGCTGCCTCCTCTCTGTCAACTTTTAAACAATTTGAAGTATTAAAAAAAACATCAGCAGATCAAGTTTTTTTCCCTTCTATACTTACGGTCATCTTCTTCTGCAACTTTCTCAGTGGGTGGCTCTTCAATTGGTCGTCCAGCAATCTGCACAAGTTCCTTGATAACTTCTTCTGTGGTTATTCGACTGTCAATAGCTAGAAAAGCTTCTTCAAGAGCCTATGAAAGAAGCATAAGACTTAAAGATACATATATTGGCAGAGGAACTAGTAACTATTAATGAAAGTTGACTCACTTTTTGTAATTTTCCATCTTTGTAAGCTTTTTGCTCCTTGATAATATCTGGGAGATACTTTGAACAATACAAGGCCACCTCTTCACCTATAAAAAACAATATTGGTCATCATAGACTTAGATAGTGAACATTGTTTCAAAGATCATTTATACCTCCATGTCCATCATATACAGAGAACATAGAAGTGTCTTCATCAAACTCTGGAATGCAGTTGTGAGCATCCTGAAAAAAACAATGTGAAATTAAATACATTAGATAGATATATTTGCAGGGTGAGTTTATTTGCACTTCATAAAAAAGTACTTTGTAAACCTTACCTCCATCGATACACGCCAGCCTTGCATAGCAGAGAAGCCGTAGCCCAATTTGTTGTTGCCGCCATCGGAAGAAGTCTTGCAAATGTTTGGTTGAGACAGATAAGCCCCCATGGCTGTGAACTACTATGGCTTTAAACCTGTGAAATGTCCAAACACAACTCGTCAGGTCCTACATATGTCGATACACATCTTACCCCGGTTTTGTCAAAGCGGTACAGTTGCTAACTGGCTAACGTTAGCAACACAAAACAAAAAGTGAATGCAACAGCTAGCCCACATCACAATGCTAACCCGGCTAAAATTCCATTGTAAGCATTGTCCATGTGGTAAATACGACAGCACACTGGAACAGCTACATATGTGCAGCGCTAAACGTTGTTTTAACGGTCCGGGAGATCAGGGATAGATTATGAAATGACTATAAGAGAGTAATTCACACAGGACTTACTGCACGTGTGAAAGCAAATGCCGCTATCAACACAAACCAAAAAGCAGCAAAAGCCGTGTAGGAACTGTTGCCAGTTTTACAGGCAGCAACCAGCGAAAAGACCTTTAGAAAATAATATTAGCCCTTAGCAAGTCCCTACAAAATTAGCTCAAAAGTGTTGAGTAACGAGTACTTATTTTGACATTCATATGAAAGAGCACTAGTGAAATACACACCACATAAATTACACGCTTATAAAATTTTAATATTTCGTAAATTTCTGGACCATAATGCGGAAAATCATATATTATATTACAAGTAGCTTTACTCCTGCTCTCATACACTCTAGTACAATATGATGGACAGAAAGGCTCTTCTGAAAAATAAATCCAAATATACTAGTATCAAATCGTATCAAATAGCGGACATGGCAACTCAGAGCAAGTAATTTACACTTGACATTTCTCCAGCTTATCTACAAGAAGGTGTATAGATAGAATACAAAGTTATTGTTTATTGAGAGTGTATTATTTGTGGACAAAATAAACTAGTAAGAACAGAGAAGTAGATTATATGATAGACTATAAGAAACGGTGTCTTGGTCGCTAGGTGGCGTGACTCTGTTGCCATAACTAAAAACCCGGAAGAAATACGGCGATTCAACATGGAGCGGGAAAATCAAGTAATGGGTGTTTGTGAAAATGAAGACGAAAATGCCCTCTCTCCATCCAAACTAAATATGTACGAGGCGCAATTCTTCGGATTCACGCCGCAGACGTGCGTTCTCCGGGTGTGTAATGCGTTTCAGGACTGCCTGTACGACATTCTCCCGGTGGTGGAGAAAGTGTGTGTCCGACAGCTGAGCAATGGGGTGTCTGCCGAGGCCGACGAGCTGAGGATAGCGGCCCGGGAGTGCAGCCGGAGATTACAGCAGGCCCTGGAAGAGCGCTTCATGCGGCTGTCGGAGCGGATGACCCCGCTGTTGCTGAAACGATGTCTCACTGTACCTCCACATGTCCTCCTGCCCGAGGACCAGTCCCACAAGGACTACCCCCAGGCCGTCCAGGTAAAGCATAAAACTAGTATTCATTATGAGTTTGATCTTTTTCAGAACTAGTGATGGATGGACAAAATAACCTGAATCTCGTATTCGTAATTTAAAAAAATAACTTAATCACACATTTTATTAAGAAGGTTTATTAGATTACAAACTCAATGTTGATACTATCTTGACAACACTAGTCGGGAACTGTCAGATCTGTAAAGAGGTGCTACTGCTGAAAAATGCATATTCATAGGCAATGCCGTTCCGGACAAACAGAGATAAGCAAAAACCTAATACAGTTTTTATGCAAATGAAAATGTGTTATCAATAACTAATAAGAGCTGATTTTTCTCATCATGACTTGTTTCTCACATTAGGAGGCCGTGAGGTTAGAGTCGTCAATCTCAGAGCTGCAGAGTGCTTTTGAAGCGGAGGTGTGTGCCAGGCAGATGTTGTTGGCAGAGCTGGAGGAGCAGGAGGAGGTTCAGAAACACCTTGATGAGATTACAGCGTGGGTCCGAGAGCTGCAGTTTTCCTGGGTGAAAGAAGGTAACAGCAGCTTTCACGACAGTTTCCGAGTTGTGATGGAGTCAATTAAAAAACTGCAGAAAGCTGTCCTGGAAGTTTATAACAAAGCACCTCAAACTGACTGAACTGTTGGATCGTTAGTAATTATTATAATAATGAGGTGGAGCTCACGTGTTGTTTTTCTTGATCGGATAAATGTCATTAAAATCCTGAACGTTTTTTTAATCACTTTTTCTGTGCCCCAATAAAAGTGTTTTTGTTGTACAGTTTTATATTGTAACATGTTAATGTAATTTCCTGTTTGTCAATAGTATTTGAGTCTTCTTGATAAATGCGCAGTGTAAGTTTAAACCATCTTTTCTAAAGTCACTTAGTCACTGTGACCACTAGGCTGCACTCTCTGCATGTTACATCAGTGCATCATATATTTTGTATATGCCACATACACAAACTATATTATATAAAATTATTTCAAGTAATTCTTGAAAACAAGTTTTCAACTATATTTTTGTCTGTTATCCATAATGTATTCATCAAATACCAAATATTATATACAATATTTTTTGAATAGATTAAATGTATGTATTCACATCCTTTTGTTAGATTTTGTTTGCTATAAATTCTATGAAAAATACTATATTTTGCTTTTTATTTATAATGAAAAGAAAAAGCATATGGATGCTCACACACAACAATATAAGAAATAAACAAGGGATACAAATTATATAGTTAGATTAGTGTATGTTTTAAAACGTTTTCCTTTTTTTTTAACTAACTATTAAGATAAAAACATGAATCTTACCTGACTTGTACTTGTCCTCAAGTAAGTGCTCCTCCTGTTGTTCCTTTGGGTATAATCTTCTAGTATTCTTGTACAATTAGAACGTTCAATACTGGACATTACAAATGAAAGGACATTGATATGCAGAGTTGCTTTACATTCTTGTTTCCCTCAGAATAAAACACTGAGTAAACTATAATAAAGGACCATACCATGGTTAAAAAAGCTGATGTCTTCTGATTAGTCATCTTAGTCTCCTTCTCTTTCAATTCTACTTACAGCCAGTGGGGAGTGCTCTGTAGTGGCTCACACTTGTGATTTAAACATAAATAAAAGACCTGAAGCTTGTTGCCTCACAGGAGAAGTGCATAATTTCACCTGAAAACTGAATGTGAATGAGTCTTATGTTATGTCTTCTGATGAATTCTCAAAGTGTAATGACCTGGATTATCTGCTGGGCTGAAAGTGAAACCTGTGATTGATTGTGCTGAAGTCAGATTTACAGCTCCCACAAAAACAACCACAAGTTGAGTAACAACAAGTACATAAACAAGACTTGTGTAAACGGTCAACATTTGTTTAAGGCATGACATTCCTGAAACTCTGAGGGAATTGTTTTTGTGTTTTTGATCCCACTGACCCGTCATTGGCTGCAGATGGGGAAGTGTTGAAGCCGTTAAGTCTTCTGCTGTGCCATCGCAATAAAGTGTTCGTTAAACGGAGAAAGAGAGCATAATATAGGATTTCCTCTCCTCAACCCAACTGTAAATGTATACTCGTGTGCGTACATACAAACGAATAAAGAACATAGTCATTATGTATTTATCTTGTCTGAAGACTAAAACACCAATGCAAAAATGTTTTATTTTGAATTGATATGAAGTTGTGGCGATCAACATGACTGCTTTTTATTCAGTAGATTACCTAAACACTGATACATATTTTTCAGACAATCCAAATAAAATGTGATTAATTGTAAGTTAACAATGACATTAATGCGATTAATCACGTTTCAGTATTTTAATTTACAGCTCTAATATTTTTTGGTCTTTCGACCCGGTAAAGCCCAAAATGATTGTTCTTCCAATCCTCTGCCAGTCAGTCACACATTAACACCATGTAAAGAGTCCAGCAGTGCCTTTGTGAGCACAGCTGTCCAGTTGTTATCAGTGCGTCTGCTGCTACTATAAATCCTAATCTTTGCCCTGTAGCGTATGTGAGGGTCCCTCTGAACCCTATAAAGCAGTTATTCAACTGCCCGAGTACACAGCTGTATGCAGCTGTCTGCACCAGTGTCTGGAGCCCACTGCAAAGTGTGAAGGTAAAAGTAATCTCAATGAAAGAAGAAACATCTCATTAGCAACACAGAGCGTCACGACTAAAGTGTTTGCATTTGAACAGAACAAACTCTTTAGAGGACAACTTCAAACTTTACATGGCAGTCCTAAACAGCGTTAGCACTAACACTATGCTGAGCTCATGATGTTTGAATGCCAAACTGCTATTAAAACTGGGATATTCTAAGGCTTTAAAATACAATTATTTAGTTTTTTTACGTGTATTTTTTATAGCTGGTATTATTTCATTTGTCACATACAGTGGGTCGGGACCCGGCTCCAAAAGGTCCATGACCATGTGTGAGATTTCATAACACTTTGAAGCAACTTTTGTTAAGCTCTGACACATTTGCAATCTCACTCCTAACTGGTGGGGGTAAACTCTGGAAAGAGAATTACCCAATGCTTTTGTATAGCATCTTCTTTCCTCTTGAGAATGGGTTTACAAGATGATCCAAAAGTTGGCTCTTGGCCCAATGCTACGTTCCAGATGTGTGTCAATGCTGAGGGCAGTGTATTTTTGGGACCGGTCTAGTTTAGCCCCTGTGGACTTCAGAATGCACTCAATAAATTAATGGGGCTAGTGCCAGCTAACGCATGCGCAACCGCAGCCATTTTGAAAAAGCCCAAAGGGAAAAGTGGTGGCACATTACTTTCAACGGCGGAGAGAGGCGTGCCTATGTCTGTTAATATTCACAATCTATGGTCACATACTGGACCGTATGCAATTTATAAATTCACATAATGTCTCCCTATCTTTCATTCCTGTGGAAGCTCCCTGTAAACCACGATCCACCTTTGTCCTTTGGGCTCACATGTTCTGACTACACTGGCACAAACAGACCCTGAGCTTTTGTCGAGTCGCAGTCCAGCTGTGTAGTGGCTTACCCTGTACTATTACCCACCAATACAGTCCAATACATAATTGAGAGGTGCATGTTAATGATGTCATCTTGTCAGGATGCTCCTAAAAGCCCTGTGATGCTTTGCAGGAAAACATAACACAGAGACAAAAAAAGTGCCTGTTCAGTATGTTCTGTATGGATCTGCTGTGGCACATTTTACAATATCACAGTTTCCCTGATATTAATTTATCTAAAAATAAAATGACAGCTCATGAGTTTATATTACTAATATAAGATTGAAAAATCAACAATTTCAATAAAGGTTCATGTATGGATGTCTAAAACCTGCAGAGTTTCTCAGCAGAGCTCAGAGTAGAGCCGCTGTTTTTCCATGTTGAGAGGAGCCAGCTGAGGTGAGGGGTATCTGTCCCCGGGGAGGTGTTCCGCGCATGACCTGTAAAAGACCCAGAATACACTGAATGTCTCAGCGGGCCTGGGAACACCTCAGGATTCCAATGTTTTAAAACAGATGAACATGGGTGGTTAGAGATAGTGATGTATTCAATTAGCACAGGGAGGCTGTGATGTCACAAAGATCTGTGTACTAATGTTGGACTCATCTCACACACTGTTAATATTTGCTATTCCATAAAAAGAATACTTGAAGTCATTTATTTTCTCTTTATCCACCAGATTAAATGTTCAATAATACATTGTTATGTCTTCATGGGCCATTAGCCTTAATGCAGAATGAGGACCAAGAAAAAGGAGACCTGCAAGGGAACATCAAGATTGCTACTGACTACCATATGCCCTTCATGCAACCTAAGCTGCTGAAAATAATTGTTGTGAAAATGAATAAAAAGAAATCAAGAAGGGTGGGTTCCCAAAGAAGAGGGAGAGCATTAAGGATGGGGATAAGGTGAGCACAGAGCAGCATAAAGGACCCAAAAAGTTGAGGAACAGAGCAGCAGCTGGCAGGTGTCATGAGTCACAAAGGACCATCTGTTCATCCTGTCCTATCAGTGCACATGCATGAACAAAAACTTTGATCTGCTCTTCCTGATATACTTGGAAACAAATGTTGCGTTTTTGTTTTAATTCACCAACTCTTACATTTTATGTGCTATTTCTTTGGAGCTAGAACACCTTGTTCCCAGAGAATTGGAAGTGTCTATCTGACTTTTTTATGTTTATTTTTCAAAAAGTTGCTGATTATATATAGTCTTGTTGTTGGGGTGGTTTCTTCCATTTTTTTCACCAGAGCTTTTACTGAACTAAATTTAATTGGGGTTAAAGCTCAAATTTTCAGAAATACCCCAACTGCAGATAGCACTATGTATTTCTAAGGTTATGTCAATCTCAATGTTGAATTAATTTATGAAGTACATGCAACTGTAAAAACTGTGGGATTTCAACCTTAGCAGATTTACAACATAAAACAGATTTACAGCATAAAAATCTCAAACATAAAATATAATCTAATCAAAGGTTAGTAAATTGATCATGTTTGGTAAAATGAAAATGTGAAATTGTCCAGTGACCCTGCAAATGCAATTTCCAAACCCCAGATCATATCATTTAACAGCTTGATTTGTTCATTATTCCAAACAGCTGACTTCGTACCAGAAACAGGTTTAATTTTGAGTTACGCAGATTATATATTTTACATTAAACATAGTTCTTTGTTGTACTGCACTCTTTGTATATTCTGGTTTGGATGTTGTTCAAATGAATAAGAATTGATCAAACAATCTCATTTAAATTATTCTAATTTGATAAATTTCTCATGCCTACACAAACAAAAGTCTAAATTATATTGGACAATTGGATTGGACTGTAAATGATTTTTAAAATATATGTATTTTTTGCTTTATTTGGAGTCATGTCCAGTCGGGCTGGTGAGGACAGTGTGCATCTGTGTGGTACGGCTTTCTCTGACCTCTGTGGACTCACACACACATTGCTGACCCTTGATCCTTCACCTCAAACTATTTGTCGCTTGGGAACGTAAGAGGAGGATACGTGTTAGAACTGTCATGATGCTGCAACGATGAGTGACGCCACAGTGATCTGAGCAAATGCTCTTGAGTGTTTTTGTCTCTTTGGATTTTATTTTGCGTTTGGCAAACCGTAAGCTTAAGAAACAATTATTTGATGAG